TAGGATATTCGCATAAAAATTTTACTACCAGTTTTTTTACCTTAACGCATTGCATGCTGGCAACTTTTCCTAAAAGTGTATTACAGCTGTTATAGACATCAGACTAATTACATCAGTTTTCAGAAATCCGCAGTCCAATGATATATATACGTTTAAGTTATTTAAATGTATTGCTAGTCAAAAGCATTTTAAATCATGTTTAATCCAAATAAGAATAAAGTGTAAGTGCTACATTTTGTTACCATGTGGAATATAAAATACAAAAACTTCAATTACAAAAATGTATTTACGTGTTAACTAACATAATATACTACTATTTCCGGTAACTAATTTACACAAAAAATTATAAGATACAAGTGGTAATTTCTAAAATCATTTATGCGTGGGTGCCAAGGGCGATAAAAAGGTAATAAATGGTAAAAACTCAAATGTTTTTTATTTATTTAATAAGCCAATCGTAACTACCACCGTGACTTATATAACAAATTATTCATATTTAAATTAAAATAACCAATACTTTCGCATTAAACAGTAAACTTGATGAAAGATGCTTTTAAAAAAAATTCGATTGTTCATCTCTTTTAAAAGGTTTTCGCTTTCACCAAAGGCCGAAGTTTAGTCACCACTTTTTTACATTTTTTGTCGACAGTGGCATCCTTGTTTATTTAATAAAATATTTTTTTAAAAATGTTTTTATTCAAAATTTTCGTTAAAACTAGAATTGAATTTTTAAAAAAAATATTTCATTTACTTAAACTGCATGCTTAATTCATTTTAACGGCATTAATGTCATTCACGTCTCTTTAGTGACCCTACTGATTCTAAAGCGTTAGTAAACCTAGCGTTAATGAGCCTACTGATTATAAAGTGATATTTTTTGTTTGTTTAAAAAATTATACTGCCCTTTTCTGTTTCAAACAATGGCTCAAATACACTCAAACAATTTATTTTTATTTGTTTTTTTTTTTCAAATTTAACTATAATAAAACTTTAGGTTTATATAAGTAATTATAAAATTATACTAAATGCATCTATAGAGTGTTTAAAAAAGTATCTATTTGGATAAATTTTGCTTCATCTAAATCCATTAATTCAATGACACGAAGCGTGATTTACTTATAAAAGACACCTATATATATTTAGAAAAATTGCAGTGTATATGCCATTTTTTTTGTTACTTTTACCACTTAAGATTTAAAAAAGCATTTGTCATTGAAATTAAATATTTATATTATAAATATATGGTTGCCACAGGCAACGATAAATACAAAAGGGGGTTGAAACTCAATTCATTCTCGCCTATTTATTCAACCGTAACTACCACCATGACTCACATTGCAAATTATTCATATGTAAAACGAAAATATTCACTGCATTTAATTTCAATAGTAAATGGAAAGAAATATAAAAAAAATCGCAATTAATAAACTACCACTTGAAAATATTTATTCGCTGTCCGGAAGTTGGCATCTCTGTGTATATAAATAAAACAATTTTTGTGTGTTCTATAATGCATTAATTTCTTCAAACCATTTTAGTAACGATTATAATATAAAAAAATTAAAAATTTACTCGAATTATGTATTTCTAATAATCGGTCTCCGGTGACCCCCGTGGCGCCACGAACAAACTCAGTGCCGGTCACCGGTGACCCCCATGGCATTCAACGTGTTAATATGTTATGTTATAAAGAACTATAATGCAACTACTCTTTTTCTCTTTTTTTTAAAAAAAAGAAACGTCCTCTTCAAAAGACAGACCCAACTAGGTTAATAACTACATACGAAATCTACTGCTGCTTTATATTACATCAATAATTTTTGTGTTAATGAATTATCCGGCAAAAAGATTTATCTCGACTATACTAAAGGTGTTTTTTTAAATAATTCATGTATTTCATCATAAATAAATCATAAAACCTTGAACATGCAAAGATTCTCGGACGACGCAAGGTACCGACTTATATTCAAAAATATAATTACAAGTCTAAGTAACATTATTTTAAATTTTAAAAAAAGAACTTAATGACATAATAAAAATAACACTTCTTCCCTTCAGAAATGAGTTAGTTATCTTTAACGATTCGCTGCATGATTATAGAACACCTGCACTTGGTTATCACCTGTCTACTTTGAAGAAGAATGAAGTTGTGTTTACAGCCGTTGCCAAACAATGTTAAAAACTAAAAATAATTGAATGAAACTGTTGATTTAACTTGTAGTGCAAAATTACAGTTTTAAGGGCCCACTCGATTTTCGTATTGATAAATAAGATATTCGAATAATATACTATACAGCAGGGCTATCTAAATAGCACGCAAAGGCACACAAATATTTTAGACCGCTATAACATACCATAAAGTTTAAAAACGAACTAAAATACTTCACATGCACAAAAGAATTCACTTTTATGATAGGGTGCAATAATTTTAACAAATTTAAACTACTTTTGATTACCCCAAAAACTCACATAAAACATTTTTAAACTATGTTTAATTTTTAAAAAAAAATTTCAGATGCTTACCAGTTGTAATCCTCAAATAATAAAATCATGGAAGTTAATTAAAATAATTAAATTAAATAAACATAAAGGTATAACAAATTAAAATAAATTCGAAAGGTATGAATTATTTTGTCAAACTAAACAGTTATTAACACATCTTTCAATGCCCAACTACCTAAAATTTTCCTAATTAAATAATGATAAGTGATATCTCATGGTAGTTTAAAACAATTTAAGACTTAACTATTAAAATAAATATTTATATCTTTAAATATAAATGTTACCATCGCAGATTTGCGATCTTAAGATTTATAAAAAGAGAAAGTTAAGTGCAATTAAAAGCAATAATTATTTTATAATATTTGTTTCAATTTAGTACCTCAAGCATGACTTTTTAGATGTTTATTATTCTACTTATTTAGAATTTTTTTTTTGTGTCGGAGTAAACAAAATATTTTTAATTATATTTATTAAACAAAACAAAAAAAATCATTAAAATATATTTTTTGCTATTACAAGAAAAAATCCTCCTCCTAAAACGGCACCGTTTAAATTTCTCATCAGAATTTTTATACTAAACCTACTGAATTAAAAATCAAAAAATATTTTCTCACGCCAAAAATTATGAAAACGGCAGCCTCTTTGAGATAATTACTCAAGACAGGAAGGCAATCGACGATTTTTCTTAATCCATCGTGAGAAAAAAAAATTACGCAACCTTAAATGTAGAAAGAGATTTCGAATGTTTATCCGCTAAGAAATCTCTTGTCACAAACAATAAAACTGCTGCTTTATGAATCTTAATTGATCTCTGCCATCAAAAGAATGTAAGACGAAAAAAACAAACGAGAATAATTCGAAATTTTCTCTTACCCCCTCGGGATCTAACGGTCCTTGAAAAATAAAAAGCAAGCTGCTACTAGCTGCTCAGTTAAGCGCAACGAACATCCAAAAGACAATGATTTATCTGGCATTCTAATTTGAACATTGATGGTTCTGTTAGGCATTTTACTTTTAGAATTTTTCTAAAGATATGAAAGGAAAAGTGTTTGACGCAGTTAATTTAGCAGGAATGTCATGGCTATGACGAGTAATCGGAAATAACCATCACAATCAGCTATTAACCGGTTATATAATAAGCAACTGAGCAGAAAACAAACAATTGCTAACAAAACGCGGAAGTTTAATTTAAGTGTGCTGCGTAGCTTCTAACTTGTATGGTTATTGAGGGAAATTCGTCTTTGTATTGGCATTATTTCTAATTTCTATAGCTAAAGCCTTCGGAATTTTCGATAATTTTGGCAACATTTTAAAAACCTCATCACTAAAGAAGTGGAATAGAGTGGCGTTTCATACGAACTTTTGCATCATTTACATACAGCGATGAGGAAAATATTTTTTAAACCCTTTGAACACCGATGTCGCCATCAACAATCAACCCTAAAGTTAAAATTTTTTATACCTTTATAATTAGTAAACACAACATTTTAGGAATTGCGTTGGTCATTGGCCGGTATGCTTTACTCGGTATTTCCTGCATTGATGTCCTTTTTTTTTAAAGGTTAAATGTCACTGTCCGATCAATACCTACAAAGATGTCTTTTAAGGTTTAGAGTTATTTCTTGGTATGTACCTCCAAATTCGTAGTCAAATTCAATTTGAATTCTAATCCTAATTATAGTGAGCAAAAAAAGTGAACAATTAAGTATCTTTTAATCTAATAATCGGATTTTTATGCACTATGACCAAATTTTACTGGTTCGAAAGCCTAACTTTAAAAAAAAAGGCTAATTTACCCTTTGTACGACGATGTCGAATTTGAGGAGCCATCAATCGTTACCACTCTAAAATTAAAAGCTTTTATATCTTAATAATTAAAAACCACGTTATTTTAAGAATTTTAAAAAATTTATAAAAATTTTGTGTAACATATAATTTGAATGATTTAGGGCTTATTTTTGTTCAAACAGCATTTTAAAGTACTGGGAGTGCAGTTTTCTTTTATTTCGCCAAACATTAAACAAATCATCGTATAATCATCAAACATTTTCATACTTTTTTTTTAATTCGTATACAGTGTTATAAATTTAATTATTTTAAATTAAATTTTTAAATCCAAAAATTAAAAAAATGTGTAAATTTTATCACTTTAATCTTAAATAAAAAAAATAAAATTTTGCGAAAAATCCATCGAAAGTCAGTTGTTAAAACATGACTCATGAAGGAACAGTTAATTTTAACTCACAAATTAAGAAGAATTTCACAGTCATCAAATCTGTAAATAAAAACAAGAAATGTGCAGGAAAACACCTATTTAGGTGGCACCGGGAATTACAATCGTGAAGGATGATCCCCCTCCCCGCCTCCCTCCACAAGACTTAATGTAGCTTTTTGATAAGGGGGTAGGGGATGACAACCACGCGCCGCATGTTCGAAAATCATTGAAATATTCTATGTAAACGCAAACGATCTCGGGGGTCGCGTGGCAGATGTCGAACGTCGGTTGGAAAAATGGAGGCAGATGTCCATACGTTCGTTCCAAAGCCCGATCAAAATGTGAGAGGCACATTTCATCAAATGGAACACCATGGGGCAGAAGGGATCGAAATCCAAAGCTTCGAAACTCGCGACTCCCCGTTCTACGGTAAGTTTTTGTTCTGTTTTGCTTTGCAGACGACCGTTATTTTCCTGTTTTCAGTTCGCTTTGCGTGAAAGCGTTTTTAAATTATTCGCTATAAAATCGTTTATTTCTAAATTCAACGAATAAATTAAATTTCTATTTCATATAGTATACTAAAAATTAAAATAAATAAAACCATTTAACATTTTTTTAATATTTAAAAATTTACATATTTTACGATATATTACGATCATTATAAAAAATATTTGCTTTATATTTACTTATTTCATTTATAATTTTTTTGTAGCTTTTATGCAGAAGATAATCATGTTTCCATTTTAATGTTATTTGCGAACTTTACAAACGCTAGATTGTTTTAGCAATCATAATAAAACAATTTACTGTTAAATGAAAAGAAAATTTTTAAAAAAAAGTCATTAAATATCTTATNTTTTTTTTTTTTTTTTTTTTTTTTTTTTTTTTTTTTTTTTGTTTGTCGTGTCTGTGACATAGCCGAATCAGATGTTTCCATGCATCTTGATTACTGCTTCTGCGATCTTACGTATAATTAAAGTAAAGATAAAGATAACCATTTTCATATCCTATTTTTTTAATATAAAGAAATATTAACATAACTTTACGCCTAACGGTGATATGTTTTGGAGATTATAAAAATAATAATATTTATATTATGCTTCTTAACTTTTCGATATTTTTAATTTATTATATTCGAGCGTCTCTTTTTTTTTTTNTTTTTTTTTTTTTTTTTTTTTTTTTTTTTTTTTTTTTTTTTTTCTTTCCTTTTTTCTTTTTTTTTACTCAGGCGATCCTTATATTTCTGTTTTATTTTCGTCAACGTGAGATATAAATTATTTTCTTTAAAATAATCTTAATGATGTTTTATGACGTTAATGATGTTATTATTTAAAATAATCTTTTTTTTATTAATGTTTTTTGATTTTCTGTTTTAATATCTAGACAATGTTAAACACCAGACAGTGTTAGCTGTTTCGTATCATTTACCATTACGTTATTTTTTTTTATTCAAAAATACTAATCCAATTCGATATTACAATTAGTTATGGATTTAACTTATGTATCGAACATCATTGAATTTAAATCTAAAAAAAAAAAAAAGAAATCAAATAGGTATTTCGTTATTTTGGAGAATTTGTTAAGCTATGAGACTTTATTTTTCTTTCTAGATCAATGGAATAAATCTCTGCACAAAATCCTTTTGTCCGCTGAATTCAAATATTTAAGCGGGATATATCCATATCGTGATCTGCCATGCCAACTACAATCTCCAAAGCGCCAAATTGTTTTTAAACTAAAAAAAAAGGGGGGGGGAGGTTTGCTCGGGGATGTCTGCGAGTTATTTTCATACCCTAATTATATAGTTCCTAGAAAGAAAATTGTAATTTACCTTTTTCACAAAAAATGTGAGTTGTTTCCTCATTTTACTTACATAAGTAAATGGCATTTAATGCTACTTATTCTTGGAATATCAACTTATAATTAATGCGTTTAAGGCAATAGAAATTTATAAATCCTATTTTAAGAAGAAGAAAAAATAATTAAACACAAAAATTTTTAAACGGCACAATTTTTTATTACACTAATTTTAATGTTCAACTAATTTTTTTTTAATAAATGTGTAAGATTATCAATTAGTTAATGGAAAATATGCCTGAAGAAAATGGGAATCTGAACCTTAAATTTAATAACAGTAATAAATGCCACTTCTTCTAATAAATGCCACCAAAACGTTAGAGTTCATAAAAATGTGTTGTTCATTATTTATGGAAAAAGATGGATAAAAATTTTTGTACTGAAGCTGTAGTAACTACATTTTGCTTGCAGAAAATGTAAACATTTACTTTAATTTTACTTAGATAAATAAATATAATTTCCTGCAGCTTTTATTTATTTATTACTTTTTTTTTTGAATATCAACTCATACTTAGTACATTTAACGGTGATAAAAAATTATTAATTCATATTTTATTAAAAAAAACTGATTAAATATAAAAATATGCTAATTTTTTTCCATAAGGATTAATTGTTATTAAAAAAATTCATTCTATATTTAAGGAAAACATTTTTAACTTAAATCAGCTTAAAGAAAATATGAATCTTACGTTAATTTTAACAACAGTAATAAATGCCATTTCATGAAGCTTTTACTTGGAATATTAAATATTATCACATCTAAAATGAAGTTGATAAAAAATTTATTGTCCATAATTTGTGTGATAAATTAATTGAATATCAAGCGATACGTTATTTTTTTTTAAATAAAAGGGTAATTTAATCAACAGTTTAGGGAAAAGTTTTAAACTATAATCTGATTGAAGAAAGTATGAATGTTTATCTCAATTTTAATAACGGTAATAAGTACCTTTTTTTGGAATAATAAATACCATAATAACTGAAACGTTAAAATAAATTTAAAAAATTACAAATCAGAATTCATTGAAGAAATTAAAAGAGATAAGCTAATATTTTTTATTACTGAAACTGAATTTTAATCCTAAGTTCGTGGAAAAGTTTTAAACTGCATTTTGCCTGTAGAAAATGTGAATATTTACCTTATTTTTTCGCATAGAAGATTAACCTTAAAAAAATTATTAGATTTATCAGCGGTTTTTCAAATCATGGCTTTTTAATCCTCGGCGTTTGATTTGGAAGTTAATTTATCATTATCGTGATTATCGTAATCCTTGTATCTCGAATTCTTTAACATCCATAGTGAGAACAACCAGTCTAATGTTTTTCTTTCTAATGTTTAACGGTCCAGCGAAGCTTATTATCTTTTTTTTTCTACTCTCATTAATTCGCATTATTTCGTTGCTTCGCAAAGCATTCAGTGAGCGGAAGATTTCACATAAAAAGGCTTTCAAACTACTTTTGGTTCGTGTATGGTTTAATTTATGCCCGATGAGATCTTTCTGGTCATTTAAACTATTGAAAATGACCTGTTTTTACGGTTAAATCTAAACTTTCAAAGTATCATTGTCGCTGTATACGCTAATTCTACACGAAAAAATAATATTAATAATTAGGAAAAACTTTTTTCTATTTCAATTGGGAATAAAGTCTGCAATAATTATTCATATAAGGATTTATATTTTTGTTTTTTTGATAAATAATAATGAGTTGGTAATTACTTTTCAATATTTAAATAATATAATAAGTACAGTGGTCAGTTGACTGCGGCTAAGATCTAAGACCAGGAGGGCAAAATTACAAGCGCAAAACATTCGAACCATATGCATACCTGCCAACTTTTACGCATTTGGCGTAAAATTTTATTTCTGTATTTAAAGTGGTAGTAAAATGTATGCTTTCTATATATTCCTTGCATTTATAAACTTAATTTATAATCTTTTTGATCCACCACTATTTTTAAAAAAATTAATCACATTTATTAGTATGTAATACTGTTCTGTTGATCCGATTAAGCTTGCTTAAAATACAGCGCATGTTTCTGCATAAAATTGTAATTTAGATTCCATTTTACTACCACTGGGGAAAATCATCCTGAAAAGGATTAAAAGTTGGCAGATATGCATATGTGATATTTTTGCAATCCAAGTGCAGATTGTTAACCCTTTGCACTCGAGAGGTGACTGTCTGTCACTTGTAAATTACCCACCACTCTACATGTGAAATTTTTTTCACCTTAACCCCTTGGGGACAGGTGATTCCGAAAATTTGACCGAGTCTGGCATCAGGGCCTCGTATACAAGCTCATAAATTTCAATATCCCCAAAGATCTAATACTACTAATTAATAATTATCTGACAAACAGAACTTTTCATATTAAGATCAATACAGCATTTTCTTCCGCTAGAAACATTAAAGCAGGAGTTCCGCAAGGTTCAATTCTCGGCCCTGTGCTCTACCTAATTTATTCAGCAGACTTTCCAAATTTTAATAATATGAGAAACATCACCTCAGCCTTCTACGCAGATGATACAGCACTTATGAGCAGATCAATAAATCCCAAGAAGTCAGTTACTAATCTCAGTAATATCATACCTCATATCGAAGACTGGTGCACAAAATGGAAGGTAGCCATNATACTTTGATTACCAGTTTTATCTTCTTACCCTGGTTGATACGGTTTTTTGCTGTCACGTATTTGTGACAGTCGGCGCGAAAGGGTTAATGTTTAGTTACCACTTCATTCAGCGATCTTCGGGTATTATAAGGTAATTTTGTAAAAAATCTTTCAAAATGTTAGTGGTTGCTTCTATTTTTTCAACAGCTGAAAAAACTTCGAGGGCAAAGGGTTAAGTTTAAAGTGGGTACACGAAGTATAGTGCAGAATTAACTGATCATATTTGTGCTTTAAAGTAATTAACCATAAACAAAATTGAATCCTAGTCCTAGCGTTTTGATTTTTTGGGACTTTTCGGTTTCGTAACGTACTTATGAATAAAATTATTATGTATATTGATAAACTTTTTATAATATTTGATGTGGTAGTTGTAAAATAAGGAAAATTTGAATTTTTTTATTTAATATACCAAATTATTATCAGATTTTCTAATTAAGTATTTTGTTTATTTATGTACGCTCCCAAGAAATTTTTTAAGTGCAATCGTTTAAATGCAAAATAAAGTACATCTTTTATAGCCATTAAAAAAAATCTCGCTAAAACGTGGAAATAAAACCCTTAGTTGCCAGGTTCGAAAATCTTTGCAATTTTTGGAATCTGTGGGGCAGAGGTCTAAAATGTTTTTTAAAGAAAAAAATGTTTTACCAATAGCTTTCCAAATGAAAAAAAAGTGCTTTTCTGTTTTTCAAGCAAATGATTAACTTGTTATAATAACACTAGGGGGCAAAGCCCCCTAGTAGTTTTTTCTTGGCAGAAAACAGTTTTTCTACTAAAGTTAAAAATATTCACTTAACATCTATGTACTAAAAGGAATTCTGTTTACTTACACTTTTGCGCCTCTACTTCCCACTTCCAAATATTACTATCTATTAGTATTATAAACACTCTTGGTGGACAGAAGTGATTTTTTTAACTATCGCTTTTTTAAAAAGCATTTATATTCGTAATGCATTATATTGTTCAAACAAATTTGATGAGTCCTCAACCATAATTTAAAATTTTCGCTAATAATGGCAGTACTGAAAAATAACTTTAAATTAGGGATACAAAAATATTTAAAGGAAAACAATGCCTTTACGACTTTTGATAATTTTATGCTGATGACAACCTAAACAATAAAAAATGGAAAAGAATGGGGAAAAAAATGGAAAAGAATGGGGAAAACTAGATCCTACCACGTGATTTTCCGGCCAATAAAAATGCGCCGACAACAATTGAAAACGGCATCAGACTATTATGATTTCATATTATATAGAGAGACCTCTTGTTATTAGTTTGTTAAAAAGATAGTCGATGTCACAATATAATTTAAATTATGAATGCAAACAAGACCATTTTTAATGACTATTATGATTTACGCACTGAAGAGAATGTTGTAAACGCATGATATTAAAAAGTGCGAAATTGGCACTTTGATAAAAGTTTTAATTTTTTCATTGCAAATGGTAGCATTTATATATGTTTCTATGAATGGCCGAAATAGATTATTGTTAACTTCCACCGGTGATTATCACAATCTCACTTTGGTATATGTCCGAAATATATATTAGATCCAATTTAGTGACACTGCCCGGTATACCCCACATCAATATTTTTTAAGGTCAAGTGTCACTGCCCAATATGCATTTAACCGGTACTCCAAAGTCTGACGTTTCTCCTCATCTATCATCAGCAGATATTAAAATATAGAATAAATATAATAATATCAACGAATAAATTAAGATAAAATTGGATAGACCAAATATCTCGGACATTCACCAAAGCCACTATGTGATTGGTAACATTCTCCAGTGAAAATCAACATTCTCTTGATTTCGACAGACAAATAACTCAAATACTTTAAAAGTTATTAAACTTTTTTTAAATTCGCCAATTTGGCGACATTTTTTAACCTAGATGAAAATTATCAAAATCACTAAATAATTCTCAGCTTTTGCAAATTTTTATAAACCCAAGTAATACAGCATTAGAGTACGTTTTTAAATATTAAAAAATTAGACCACAAACCCTCTTTATTTTCACAAAACTATGGGTTTTCTCCATATTGACATTTTGCGCCATTTACAGAATAAGCTTAGACAGTGCTAACTTTAGATAGGCTAAACTTGTCATAATAGTCATGAGTAACAGTTGCAAACTCTTAGCAGTTATAAAAATAGCACATTATTCCCAAAAGAAACATCATTTCATACTGCTAAGATGCCTTCGAAAAACAGCCAGCCTTCCTGCGATTTGTTTGGGAATTTTTATGCATGCGCTCTGAAGTTTAACCCTTTGCACTCCGAGAACTGTTTGAACTAAAATAAGCACTAAATCATTTAAAATAAATATTACTGCACAATTTTTGAATAATTTTTAAAATTCTTAAAATGATGTGGTTACTAATTATTAAGGTACAAAAATTTTCAATTTTTGAACGGTGACTGTTACTGGCGCATCAGAGGTGACATCGGACTGCAAAGGGTTAAATAGCGTTAGGGTTAAGGAAATCCACAACGCTTTGCAAAATCTCTCTAAACAACAATTTTTTTCTTAGGGCTCTTCACCACTGAACAACGCCACCTACTGGGAAGCAGAAGAAGATCCGGATTGGGATAACTGCGTCATGGTAGTGGCAACACAAAAGGCTAGGCAGTATCCAACTTTGACATCAGCATGCAGCAATGATTCCTTGGCCAGGTCATTGCATAAAGAAGTTGAGTACTCACCCTTAAATGTGAGTAGGCGGTCACCGGATCAGCAAAGAATTGATCCGGGATTGGCCCTGGCTCCGGATAGCCGATATCCATCGTCCAGTCAAAGAAAGAGGCAAAATACTTTGTTGGATACCGGATGGCCTGCTTGTTTTAAAAACAATAATTATGTGTTTGTACGGAACGGTAATGGATTTAAAGTAGACAGGCAGGTAAGTCAATTCTAACATTCGTTTCTCTTTTGGCTATCTGCATTGTTTTATTCTGAAAACTCAGTTTTATGTGGCCTTTTAACTGTTTCGTTTCCTCCGTAAATGTTTGCTTCAACTTTTACTGCTCCTCCTCGACGTCAGGAAAGAGATTCAAGCAGCTCTGTAGCACAATGAGCTCTACTTGTTTGTTTTTTTCCCTTTAAACCGGCATTTGTTTAGATTTTAAACAAAGTTGAGGCAAATATTTACGTTTGGGTTACAAGTTCGATTAACAGCACTACGTCATAAAATGATAAGATAACTATTTGCCCTTTCCACTCAAAAGTTTGTCAATATTTAGCGCACCTTTCTGGGGTTTTGATCACTTTGAAACAAAGAAGATTCTTAACAGCTGGTAGTGTTTCATGTTGGTAACTTTAGTTACATGCTTTATTTTTTCGTTGCATTAGCACAGCTCTTCATCTGGCACATCATATCAAGTTTACTTCGTTTCTTGCTTTTATACAAAAAATTTAAGACACTCAGTTAAGATCTAAATATAGAATACTGGCTGAACCGAAAGAGATGAAAAAATAAAATTCTTACTTGGTTAGTCATTAGCAATTTTTTACGTTTTCATTCACTACTTCATTTAAAAATTTATTGAAAAAATGGATTCAAAGATGAAGGCTTAGGAAATTTTTTTCCTGTGTCAGAGCTGCCAAATAATTGACCATATAAATGCCAACTAACCAATTCGGTACATGCCTTTTAAATCTACGAAATTGCTCGAGATTGGTGCGATTATCTCATTTTCATCTGTAATTTTGAATAAGCATAAACATTACACATATAATATGTAAAGTTACATTAATATTAGTATATTTGGTTCCAAAATTATTATTTTGTTACATTTTTAAATGAAACTGGTAGTTAAATAAATAAACACATTTAATTAAATTTTTCCTACCACTTTTTTTTAAAAGTTGTCTTTAACATTATCAGCAGGATGCACTGATTTAGTTTATCAGTCTTTTGAAGTAACGTTCTGTTATTTAATAAACCAGGTTGCACCTGGTATCCTTCTTAAAGTTTTAGTCACGAATACCAGTAGTTTTCTAATTTCTCTTTCTGTAAGTGAACCTCAAGCTGATGATGCGTAGTATAAGATTGGGCTGATGGCACACTCTCTAAAAACACTTTTTTTTTTTGTGTTTAACCCGTTTTGTCCCGAATTTATTTATTGAAATGCTACAAAAAGTGGTTTTATGAAAAAAGTGGTATAATATATTATCGAAATTAATTGGTTTTTCTACTGTTAGGGCATTCAAAAAGTCATTAATACATACCCTCCAACTTATGAGGATTTTGAAAATAATTCTTTCTAGTGGTAGCGAACCAAAGTAGAAATTTTTAAAGCAAATGGATCTCTCATAAAACTTTTATCAGAACTTAAGAATCTAGCCATATGGCCTGCACTTTTATAAGTAATAGTGGACAAGTTACACTAAAATAAATTTTTTTTTAAATATTAAGACCTTAATTTTGCTACCGTCTGAAAAGAAGATTTCTGAAACTACGGAAATTCCGTAGCAGTTGGAGGGTATGTTAATAGATCAAGAAGTACTTGCTCCTTATAATTCTGCATCTAATCAGAAATAACTAAATCATTGTGGTATCTGAGAATCTTTTAATTCACCCAGATAAATGAAAATACTGAAAAAACTTTCCCACCACAATGAATGTCTTTGAAAAAAGGAACTGTCCTATATATATGACACTGGGCGTTAACCGGTTAAAGCACTCTTAGAATTATGTGATAAGATAGGCTGCGGTGCCTAGTAGGCTGCTTCGGCTTTCTTTATGATATTAGTTATGTGTTTATTCCAGTTTAAGGTATTAAATAGTGTGATGCACTAATTAATAATCTAACATCATAATAATTATTATTAACCGTAACTAATTAATAACCTAATATAATAACCTAAGTATTTGGCACTAATGACTATTGAGATTTCTTCAATGAACAAAGCAAGCCTATTATTATCATTGATCTTCTTTTTATGGTTTTGTCGAATAACGAAAAAGTTCGAATCATTAATTTTTGTATTCCACTTGGAGCATCATTTTTCTATTGAGTCTAATTGATCTTGGATTTTAGTGACTGCTCAGTTTAGGCAAATTGATTTAAAGTGTGCCACCAGAGTAGAACACGGTTTACATATTTTGATCTTTTCTGTCAACGGGGAAATCTTTACTATAAATTAGAAAAAGTATTGGTCTTAGCATTGAACCTTGCAGGACAGTGGTTACTAGTTACAAAGGTATTAAAAAAATTCATTTTAGAGTGGTGACTGATGAAGACCCCTCAGAGGCAACATTAGACTGCAAAGGGTTAAGTGGTTGCTAAACCAGAGAAATTTCCACTTAGTTTGATAATTCGTTTACTGTTACTGTAACGAATCAAGCTACATTAAAGAAACAGTTCTTTTTTTTATAAAAGCACATTTATTTGACAATTGGGTATAATATAAAAAAAACACAACTACTTCCACTTAGTAGGAATAACATTTACCATGACGCAATGCTAAATGCTATGCCACTATCCACATAAATGCCACTATCCACATAAATCAATTATTAATCAAAAATCGAATATCAATTACTTTTCTTTATAATGCAATAAAATCTGGCGAGCAGCTTTTTAAACGATCAAACACTTCGTTTGCTTATTTGTGGCTTGAAGTTAGGCTCGCAGAAAATGCCATTCATGGGTTAAATGTAGTAGGAATAACACAACCTGTGACGTAGGCTATAGTATACCCAATTACACGCACGAACTAAACAAAATTAAATTAAAATGTACCCAGAACGGGTTAGTAATAACCTTGCAAAATAAATGGTAGGTACTTTTATTTACGTCACACTAGCGCTGCCCAATGGGCTATTGGCGACGGTCTGGGAAACATCCATGAGGATGATCCGAAGACATGCCACCGCATTTTTAATCCTGTGCAGATAGATGATGGCTCCCCTGCTTTGGTAGCCCGATGATCTGTGCGTGAATCTTTACGGTAGAACAGTTTAACGAGAACTGATACCGCATATCCTCGGTCCTTACGTAGGCTGAACAAAGTGGTCACCCATCCGCTTACTGACCACAGCCAGTGATGCTTGACTTTGGTGTTCAACTAGGAACCGTGTCTTTACGATCAGTCCACTGCGGGACCAAAATAAATGGGGGGGAAAAACAATTAACGTGTTAGTATGAGCCTTAAATTCAAAACAAAAACTATTCTTATCAAAAGTCAACAACGCTCTGTTCCATAAATTGGGTACAATATGAAAAAAACACAACTACTTCGATTTAGTAGGAACAACATATGACGCAATGCTAAACGAATGGAATTTAGTTGTTGTTTATTTAGTTATTGTTATTAGTAGTTGTTGTTATTTGTTTTAGTTGTTGCTGTTTATTTAGTTGTATTTAGTTTCAGTAACTTTTCTTTATAATGCAATAAAATCTGGCGAGCAGCTATTTAAACGATCGAACACTTCGTTTGTTTATTTGTGGCTTGAAGTTAGGCTCGCAGAAAATGCCGTTCATGGGTTAAATTTAGTAGGAACAACACAACCTGTGACGTAGGCTATATTATACCCAATTGTCTCGTTCTTTTATTTTTAATTCATTTCGTTCTACGTTTTCTTTTTATTCGTGCTTTTGTTAGCCAGATATTTTTAGACTTTATATTACTTAATTATTTTAGAACACCTCTGGGAGCCCTACAATAGCAAATTTTACGTTTAATATACAAATTGGATTAAGATTATATCGAGATGAAGATTATGCACTATAAAGTAATTGTGACTCGATAGTTTTTACCAAAGGGGAGACTTTATACCAAATGTTTAAAAACGCATCTATTGCTTCAATTCCAAGAAACTATATCCGCATTGTTCTGAATCACTACCAAACAATTTTCTTTTAACTTTTTGTTATTATTAACGCACTACTTAGAATACGAAATAAAAAAAGGCTTGTCGTGTTATAGTTATCCTGTCTGGGAATAAACTGAAACGCCTAGACTTTAAAAACCTCATTATGTCTCAGAAAATAGTAATTTTGTGTCTTAAAAGAAAATTTATCATTAGGATTTAGTTTTAGAAATATCATTAGATTTAGAAATTTTATAATTTCAATCATCTCCGTTTCTGAGGTGTAATTTCAAGTAAAAATAAGGTAAGATATTGTCTAACATTTCATTTCACATATTTTTCATTTATTTTAAATAATAATAGTGCAGTTTTTATTACTATGAAAAATATATAGTTGCTAATTTACTCAAAAGATATTTTTGCGAAAATTTGCCTCACTTTTTGTTTCTAATTATATCAGGTTTTGTGAGGTGGAACTTAAGATATTATGCAAGATTTTATCACTCATTTTATTTTCATAATCAATATTTAATTTATTGAATAAAATTGGGTTAATAGCGATAGTTTAGATGGTTGTAGAAAACTTAGAGAATTATTATCATAGTGACATTTATAAGCAAAATTAAAGGTCGCCACAGGCCACAGGGCGATTAAATACAAGTTTCGGTTTAAAATTTGTTTGCAAATCGCCTGTTTTTTCGTCCAAAATGTACACCATGAAGCATGTTATTATTATTTATATTAACAAATATGAAACTGTTATAAATATTTTATAATATTCTGAAAACAAATTTATTTCACGCTTTTTCTTAAAACTTTTCTTCATTTTAGAAACGAACCTTGTAAAATAATGTTTTTGAGAAATGATTCAGAAAAAATGCAAGGCATTTTTTCTGAATATCAACAGTTCTTTCAATCGTTTAAAAATTTCAATTTTTGAAATTGTGGCCGCATGGTACATAAAAGTAAAAACACTGAGCAAGATCTAATCTTACATTTTATTCGGTATACTATTTAAATTGATTAGTAATTTTTTTTATTTATTTTATAAAATTGCGTTGATAGTTTTGATCATAGTACAAAATTTTATGTAATGTTTTTTGCTGATTGTTACTGTCAGAAATGTTATATTTGTGAAAACTTACTTCTCCATTTATTTCCAATTTTATATAGCGGAACTTGAAAGTAAAATTAGTGAGCTAGATCTTATTTTGCATTTTATTGGGCATAATATTTGAATTTATTAGTAATTTTTCATTTACCTAATGAAATTGCATTGATAGAATAGTTATGGTCATTGTGCAAAACTTTGTGAATTATTTTTATAGTAGTATTCGGTCGGAAATATTATGTTTGAGAAAATTTACCCCTCTATTTATTTTTGATTTTATGTTGCGGAAAAAATATTTTGCAAGATCTTATTTTGCAGGGATAATAATTAAATGTATCTATAACTTTCCTATTTATCTAATAAAATTGAGTTTGATAATTTAGTTTTAATTTACAAAATAAAGTCTCATTTTCTTTATAAAATTATTTTTAGATTTTTTATTCTACTGAAAAATTATTGTATGGTTTATTGCGAAAATAATGCACATCTTAATTAATTTGATGCTAAATATGAGATAATTTTAAAATTTATTAGCCAATTAAAATGTAACTTATATTTTTAAATATGGAAACCAATTTTGTTAAAACATCATGATCGAAATATGTGTTTTAACCATTAGGAGTCTTTTCGATATTGTTTTATCTCAGAGCTCGGCCCGAATATTAGAGAATTATAGCACGTATTTATAATAACTTGTTTTTATGATATGTCTTTTTACGAACGTATTCGTATAACAGCGCTCACACTGAAAATTAGAAGTTAATTATAATACGCATTTAAAATAAATAATTTGTCTATATGACAAATTATTTATTATAAAGTCACTAAAAAAATCTCTTTTAAATTCGACTTCATCAGGAATTACAGAAAATTGTTTATCAGGAATTAGCTATAGTTCCTGATGAGGACGATGGCGGAACAGCAATAAAGTAAGATCAAAGCTTTTAAAAACGTATGTATCCAAACATGCATGTAGGTAGAAAAAAATATCATATTTAGAAAGTAGAAAAGCAAATTTATATCATAATTACAACTGACTTAGTACACTACAGGTTGCCACTTTTTTCTAAATATTGATTTTTCAACAGCATTGTAAATATAACAAGAGCGCAACAGCTGTTTATTGATTCTGCCAACAGAGCTACCTTCAAACCTTATGCAAAGAATCGAAAGTGCGCAGTAAAATAAACGGACCACCCTTAAAACTTTTGATCTAATGATCGGAAATTTTAGTGAATATTTATTATTTTTTATTATTTTATTCAATAACAGTCGAAAAATTTTTGAATTGTAAGGTATAAAAAATTTTTACATTATTTGAAAGATAGTAATTTTACATGGAAGAAATTACAGAGAGAAATCGGTTGAACAATTCCTGAGAAATCAAATTTGAAAAGAAAAAAAACCGTTCAATAAAATTCAATTTTTCAAGAACTATTCGATCGATTTCGTTCAAATGTTGCGTTTTGCCGCGTAAACACACTTTAAAATGATGTAAAAATTTGTATACCTAAAAATTCAACAAGTTCTTGACTATTATTAAATAAAATAATAAAAATAATAAATATTCAGTAAAAGTTATTTTTTGCATTGATAAACGAATTTTATAATTGTGTGCAAAAAAATTTCAATTCGCTTAAAAAGTTCTTGCGATATGGCAAAATCTCGGTCTCCTGATACAACTATTGGGATCATATTTCCCACATATCGGCAAACCACTTTTATGCCTGATTTCGTAACTTAAAATATCGCCGGCACTTAACAGCAAGCATAGTTCTAGTCACTATCTCAAACCATTAAGATTCAGTCCTAAAACATGAAGTTCCGATCATTAGATCAAAAGTTATTCAGGGAGATCCGTTTTTTATTTATTTATTTATTAGAACTGTACAATCATTATTCATTGAAGTCTACTCTTTTAAATAAGGTTCTGTGCTCTATTTCTGATAATATCCGATACCAAGAGGTCAATAAATAAATAAAGAGCTGCATAATTTGTGTTCCGAGGGCCAAATTATTTATTATAATTATCATTATTTAATTACTTATTGATTTATTATTTACACATTGCCCTTGAGTGTTAAAAACGGGACTGGCCCCTAAGCCAAAAATTGATTTGAAAAGCTACAAAACTAGCATAGGAAATTGTATAGCAGTTTCTTAAACTGATTTCAATAAAAATATTGAGAAAAAAAATTGCCGAAAATTGCCGAAACTTTAAAATTCGAAAACACAGGAATACTAATAAAAGATGATATTTCGAATTTCTTTAAATTAAAAAGAAAAACAAAAAATTTTAACTTAACTCTGTGCCAAAAAAATTTTGTTCAAGGATTTATTTAAAAATTAAAAGTGTAAAATATCTGTAAATTAAAACTTTAAGTAAAAATAATAATAATAAATTTTAAGTTGAAGATCAGTCACATCTTAAATTTGTTATAGAAGTCTAAGCATGCAAAATTTTAAAATTTTTAAATTCAAAAATATTCTACACATACTTTACCGTTTGATTTTTAAGGCAAAAATTTATATTCTATTTAAGTAATAATTGACCCCTTCACGCTGACCGGACACCGGTGTCCTTTTAATATATTTTTTTCTGATGCTCTAATCTTAAGCAAGAAGTATATGTTGGTATTTTTTAATTATAAAAAACAATCTAATAGTTACTAAAAAAATCCGTTAGATTATCGGAATTATATTTGTATTAAATTATTAAATCCAAATAAAATAGTTTGAATTATTTTTTTCATTTATATTCAAAAATTTATCAATAATTGATTTTGTAAATTAAAGACACATTAATAAGGAATAATTGTTTCGCTTAGATCTAAATAACAGCTAATATGAGTAAATTGAAAAAATATTGTTTTTAAGATTTTACCTATAACGGAGAAAAGACATCGATGTTTCATGCTATATTTCATAACCGTAAATAATTAAATTGATAAATATAATATTTTTTACTTATTTTGACCTAAATTAATACAAAATTATGAAGAAAAAAAAGTATGAAAAATATGTTTAATAAAAGTTCCGCGTCATAGGGTTAAGTTAATATTAATTAATTATTTTCAACGCTGGAAATCAAAAAAAAAAAAAAAAATTTTTTCCGAAATAAGTTATGCAACCCTAGATTAACAAATCAATTTTAAACTAATTCAAACTAATTTACGATTTCAATTTTTGCTAATTCAAATTACATTCTCAAAATTTCCAATGAATCTCTTTTTATTTCAGATTGACGAAAAATGGAAAGATAATACGGATGTAACTTACGTCATATCTACCACAAAACAAGAGAAGGACGGAGAAGAAAAGTTAATCGTTTCCCTACAAGATCTTACATTTTATTCGGTATACTATTTAAATTGATTAGTAATTTTTTTTATTTATTTTATAAAATTGCGTTGATAGTTTTGATCATAGTACAAAATTTTATGTAATGTTTTTTGCTGATTGTTACTGTCAGAAATGTTATATTTGTGAAAACTTACTTCTCCATTTATTTCCAATTTTATATAGCGGAACTTGAAAGTAAAATTAGTGAGCTAGATCTTATTTTGCATTTTATTGGGCATAATATTTGAATTTATTAGTAATTTTTCATTTACCTAATGAAATTGCATTGATAGAATAGTTATGGTCATTGTGCAAAACTTTGTGAATTATTTTTATAGTAGTATTCGGTCGGAAATATTATGTTTGAGAAAATTTACCCCTCTATTTATTTTTGATTTTATGTTGCGGAAAAAATATTTTGCAAGATCTTATTTTGCAGGGATAATAATTAAATGTATCTATAACTTTCCTATTTATCTAATAAAATTGAGNCCACATTCAGCTAAATATGAAGATGGAATCGGTAACAATAGTTTTCTTGCACATTTGATTGAATTTGGGTATTTGTTTTCTGTTTCCTCACGAAGCCATGCCATCACTCCTTTCATATTAAATAAGGTTTTAACTGGCTCATCATTTTGCATTTCTGCAAGTTCTTCTTGATATATTTGATATATCAGACAAATCCACTAACATGGATTGCAACATCCATGTTGGAAAATAAATTTGTTTTAAAGCAGAATATCTTTCTTTTAAATCAGCCGACAGAATTTTCAGATGATAGACAATAACAAGTAAAGCGGTATCATTTACTTCACATTTTTGGAGTTAATGAAACTGTTCTAAGTTTTTGTTGTTAATATATTTCTGACATAACTCAATAAGGGTAATGAAGACAAATACCTTCGCTTTTGCATCAACGAGAGTTTTATTTTTTCCTTGAAGTTTCTTATTTAATATATTCAGTTTTTCAAAGATATTGGCTAAATAACTCACAAATGCTTTACCATCGACTGTAAACACATACTTCATTTCAGGTTTGTCGCTTAAAAAATCCCTAAGTCACATAATGTTTATTGACCGCAATTATTTAACAATTCGCTTTTTTCTTTCGATTTTGTCACCGAAATCTCGCATTGCATTTAAATAACCCAGAGCAAAAGGTTTAAACTCATGTCGAGTTCATTTTTGAATTGCTCCCCTTTACAATGAAATTGCCCCCCGGTGGGGAGTGGGCCCCACGTTGGGAAACACTGCTCTAGCCTATGATCTTTCTACTACTAACGACAGTTTATGTTTGCACTGCAGTTGGTGCGAGTTGAGTGTGGATTTTTTGTTGACCAGTCATCGCTGGGATTCGAGTCCTGTGAGACGAGCGCTCTATCCCCTAAGCACCGAAGTTCGATTACTGGTTGCTTTTTTCTATTATTAATTTTTCGATTATTAGAACTTGGTCTGTTATATAATGAAAGGATGTTAATACTTATGTATAAAATCTATCCGCTTTTGTTTTAGATTACACTATAAGGATTTGGAAACTTATGCATAAAATCGATCTGTTTTTGATTCGTTTTGATCCATTTGCGATTACATTACAACGATATACATGGCGAAAATTCCTCTTTTCTGACATATGTCCAAGTGTACAATAATAAGTGTCACAATAATAAAATTTTCTTTAAAAAAAAAATCAGACTCTATGTTAAAAGTTTAAAATTTAAATCGAAAGTAAAATGAAAACTACCCATTGCATTTATTCAGAATTTGTAATTACTGTTTTTTTTTGTGACTTTAATTAAATATTTCTCAAATTTATCTGGCAAATGTAGATCAGACAAAAAGAAGACGTCAAGTTGGTTAAAGAAGTTGAGAACACCTGGTAAAAATAGATCGCTTAAAATAGAAGCTTCTGCAGAAGAAACAACTCCAATATTCGAAACCAGATCTGATGAATCTCCAGAATCTACCGGATCTAATACCAAAGGAAAAAAAATCTTCAATGCCTCTCCCGAGAAGCACCTATCACCATCACCCGAGAAACAAAAGATATCAACTCCTGCTCCGGCTTTCGACTATCACCTCAAAACAACGGGCCCACAGACTAGTACACCAAAAAGGGAAGAACATTCTGATGGAACCAAGAAACGACCTCAGGCAAACACACCATACAGACTTCCAAACGGGCGAATGTCTGTTCGAAGACGTATTCCATATGAAGACATGTCACCCGAAAGTGGACAATTAATCAACGTCGAAACATCTGCTCCAATAGCACAATTAGAATCTGTGAATAGTCAAGAGTTCCTAAACAGCCCAGATTTGGATGTGAACTTAAGTCCAATTCAAAAGAAAGGGGTGTGCCGTAGTTCTGGTCAGAAAATTGATGATACCGATCTAGTTTCGTCCATAAACCGCATACAAAGGAGAAGCAGTTGTATCAATACAAAGCAGAAAGTTATGAATGGTGGTTTGTCTTGCAAAGTTCATCTCCAGAGGCGACTTAGTTCCACTTTGCCAAAAAGCACGCAAACTGAGGAAAGGTACATAGTTCCAAAGCCGATGACTGATCCTAGAGTTAGTTCTAAACCCTGCGAAAGTATACTTCATCCAAGTCCGTCAGATAACGATATTCCATTCGTCGATTACGATGAAGATGAAGTATCGTTTGATGATAAACCTCGAAGGAGATTAATTGTCCGAAGGAAACAGGAAGTTATATTAAGCAAGTCTGCACCTAATGTGTCCCTAAATGGCAGCTGCGTCGATGAAAAGGAAGATAGAAATCCTGCTCCAAATATGTCTACGAATAAAAAGGTTATATCTTCAAGTGAGCCAGCTATAAGTCCCGAAAAAACGAACACACGTTTACAAAAAGCTCAGAGTCCAATGGAAGAAGAAGAGAATATGTCACTAGACCAAAAAACAGAAGACTTGCTCAGCATCGATGATTCAACTGACTCGTTTTCACCGTATGTGTGAGTATTATCTATTAGCTTGTTTAATTCTTATTTTTGCTGTATTCTTTTTGCATTTGAAAATTATTAAAAATCTGCATTACTATAATACAAAGTTATTCATAAGTTCCGATGAAATATCAAAAGGCTATATTAAAAAAAATTATTCGATTAAAACGAATACATCAGAAACTAACATTGCACTAAAGACAGAAATAATTCTATTTTAATTTACAGCCCTTACAGGTGCATACCTGCCAACTTTTAATCCTTTCAAGGATGATTTTCCCCAGTGGTAGTAAAATGGAATTTAAATTACAATTTTAGGCAGAAACATAAGCTGTATTTTGACCAGGCTTATGCTGAGTTCCACAACTGTATTACATATTATTTCATCGGAACTGATGCTTAATATATGCTTAATTTTTTTAAAAATTGTGGTGGATAAAAAAGGTTATAAATTAAGTTATAAATGCAAAGAATATATAGAAAGCATACATTTTACTACCACTTTAAATATAGAAATAAAACTTTACACCAAATGCGTAAAAGTTGGCAGGAATGCAGGTGCTCGTGGAGTGATCCCTCAGTTATAGCGTCCATATATAAATACGATAGTCCAATTCCTTCGAGATTCCATTCAGCATGGTAACTATAGCATACTTACCGATAAGTTGCATTTTCCGATTTATCGGGAGATTTTCTTGAATATTAAAATAGGTTAAGTACGTTTCATATTTTACTTTTATGATTGATTTAATAAATTTGATTTAGAATAACTTTGTCCATCGCTATAAACAAGAAGACATATGTATTTAAGTCCTGTTTATGGAGAAAGCTTTTGGCACGAAAGAAACTAAAACAATTCAACATTCCCATTAATATAATCAAACTTATTGATTCTTACATCACCAACAGAAAATTTACAATGAAACTAAACAAGGTCTTTTCTAAAACTGAAATCATTAGTGCAATTGGGTTAAATGAATAATGGGAAGAAATGGGACTTCTAGGTTGGCATCTATGCTACAGTATTGACAGCATGTGTAATCTTTTCACAGGGGCCTTGTTTTGTTGGTGGTGATGTATGCAAAAGATCTTATTTTCTTACCCTTTAAGCCGAGGGATTTAGCAAAACTACCTTTATTGCAAACTTTATTTTTGTTGCATTCGTTTCACTAACTTGTCTTACTAAACTTTTTCACTAAAGCCCTCTGAAACCTGGAAGGGATTTATGTATGAAGAGATGAATTTCTTTTAGGTTAGTTTAATTGTTCTAATTTTTTTTTTGCAGAGATTCCAAAAATACTGAAATAGATAGTCCTTTATCGTGCTGGCTGAAAGAAATCCGCTTGATGACTGACAGTGAATGCCTGAATGCCTTGCAAGCTAAAGTGTTGCTTAAAGAAGACTGGGTTCCCAATGCTTTGGCTGTTGGAAATGCTCAGGGTAAATAGAACTAATCAATAAGCTTTTACTCGATTTATGTTTATGAAGAAAATAAGAGAAAAACAATGATACTCCGCAAAGGAGAGTGTTTGTTTCTTAATCGAAGTCATGGTCTAATAGATCTTTAAATTTTGTTCTTTCATTAAGGAGACATCATTGTAAACGGCATAAATAAATTTTAATTTATTTATTTATTTTTTGGTGGCGGTGACAACTATATAAGACCTAATAATATATGTAGGCCTAATAATATATGTCTAATCGATCCTTAAATTTTGTTCTTTCAATAATGAGACATCATTGTAAACTGTATAAATAAATTTCAATTAATTAATTTATTTTTTAGTGGCTGCGACAACTATATGAGGCCTAATAATATACATAGGCCTAATAATATATGTCTAATAGATCTTTAAATTTTGTAACATCAGGCAGTAAATAACATCTTGCGGATATTTAATACCCATTTTTTATTTCAGAATCTGCAGAAAGAATATGGGACTTCGGAATCAACATCAACAAACACATTGATGAAATGATTGAATCCCTAAAATCAGAAGCATCAACTGTGCCACTGTCCTTAAAGGTAGCTCAGCTGTGCACAAGTTTAGTGGAAATTGTCAAGCTGTCCAGTTCTATTAAGCAGTTAGCGCAGGTAAGATAACCGTGTGTGCTTGTTGTCCCACACACCAGGTATTATATGACACGTTTCTTAATAGGAATATGAAAATCTAATGACAATTTAATCGCATTCGCTGATAGGATTGCATGATTTTATATTTAGAATATTCTTTAATTGGACGCTACTCATATAAGCAGGTTTATACAGGATATGCTATAATCACTGCTCCGAATATGTATTATTAGAATCCTTGGTGCAAAAATTATATTCACATTAACCCTTTGACGCAGATAAGACATTGGAGTCCCTTTTATACATTTTTTTTTTCTGAAGCTCTAATTGAAACAAAAATATATTTTGGTATTTTTTTATGATAAAAAACAGTCTAATAGTTAGTAAAAAAATCTGTTAGATTATCAGAATTATATTTGTATTAAAATATAAAATTTTAAAAAAAATAGTTAGGAAAAAAAGTTTCATTCATATTTAAAAAGTTAACTATAACTGATTTTGCAAATAAAAGAAATTTCGACAATGAATTAAATAAAAAATGGGTAAGCCGTGTTTGGAAGATTTTACCTTTAACGCCGTGGAAGATACCGGTGTTTCATGCTGTATTTCATAACTAAACTATAAATTATTAAAATGCTAGGTATAATATTTTTAACTTATTTCAACCTGAATTCAATAAAAAATAAGGAAAGGAGTATGAAAATATGTTTCATAAAAATTCTGCGTCAAAGGGTTAAAAAAAAGGCAAATTTACTCTAAATCTGATAGAACTCTTTTGAAGCCGACTGCATTCAAACATTAAATTTGACTGCCGGATGAACTTCTTCACAAATTTCTCCAACAATTAAACAGATTTTGCAATTTAAATCCCACTTGCGTCAGAAGTTATTCGTGAGATTTTAAGAACTTTTTTTCCCCGCTTTCATATTCATTTGCTACCCCCAATGTGGATACAATTTTTATTTTATTTTTAAAATGTAAAACTGAGAAGTAAAGCATTCCTGCAACAACCCCTTGTAGGTCGTGGAGCTTAAGACACTATAACTTCGTAACCAACGGTGTAATGGCAACAATGTGGTTAGCATTACGCACCGCCCGCCTTCATAACCCAGACAAGCTGGTACGCATCGATCTAGGCTTCAAGACGTCGCCGGGGATCAAACCCCGATCCTTTACAATAACAGTTCATTTTTAATAAGTATTCTTAAACTATTCATTAAGGGTGTAGTAATTTTAATAACTATTAAACAAATTCTGGAGCACCCTTTACAAAATTATTATTAAAAAATTCGTTCAGTGTTTTATTTGAAAACATTGGTAATTTTAAAAAATAATCATTTAATATTAATAAGCAAATTGATCTAAAAATTAATTAATGTCTTCTATTTGCAGATTGAGGCCAAAGTAAGAACATCATGTTCTACTCTATTGGATATAGTGAATAAGTAAGAGCATATTATTTTGCATCAATTTTTTTTTTGTTGCTACTAATTGTATATTTTTTAATTATTTCAAATTTTAGAACTGTGTGTCAGGTGTCAAAATACCAATTCCGTTGAAAAAAGCTAGGTTTATTCAAAGAAAATACGCTTTTCTGTCTGAATTTGTAACTTAAAATATACTAAATAATTTGCACTAAATAATCAGCATATTTGAGGTCACCTAGTCATTTCAGTCCTAGAATGTGAAGATCCGATCATTAGATCATAAGTTATACTGGATGGTCTATTCTTCATTTTGCGCACGGTACATACCAAAAAATGGCTCTAAATCTTAAAAGACGTCTTTGCAGGTATTTAGCGGCCAGTGATACTTAACCTTGATCATCCGCGCCCTGAGGGTGTATTCATTGTAAACAATACATTTTCCACCTTTATTATTTCTCGCACGCTGTAACGCCATATTATTTTTCGGTGGTATAATTAGGGAAGAATAAGCGAGTCAGACCTAATTTTGATTATAATATTATATTGCTATAAAGTTATATGAATGCCAATTACTTTAATGTCTAATATTAATATTTAACTTTCTTAGGAATGGAAAATACAATGAATGGAAATCCAAAGCAAAGGAAGAGCTTGAAAACATACAAAAGCACGCAATGATATTGATTCAACAGCTGATTCTTAGAGAACTATTTGTAAGGAACATCTCAATATAAATAATGTTCATCAATTGATTAACCTTTTCGTTACGGCAGTCCGGTTTTATTTTACAACCAGAGTTGAACAGCGAACCCTATTCTCAATTTACGACTATCAATGTTCAGCTCCATTTCTTTGTAATTTTGAATCTAATCCGAAAGACAAGGTAACTTCTGGATCAAACATTAGGACAAACTAGCCTTCATGGAGAACTTTTAGATTGAAATGATCCGCATTTGAGAAAAGTCACAGAGCGATGGAGAGGAAAGCCACGAACACCTCTCACAGTTGGCCAGGTAGCAAGGGGATTCCAACCCATGATCCATTTACAACTGAGAATATTTTACGTCAGTACTGTGGTCGATGTAAGCCGAGAGCAGAATTCGTATCAACCAGCCACGCTATCACTGGGGTTCAAACCTGAGCCACCTCATCGGGAGACGAGCGCTTACGAAATATACTTCTAGTGATATTAATCAAATGTAGGTCAATGAATATTAACCAGTGGGCCAGCCATGTGGACGAGTAGCTAGCGTGTCTGACCGTGAAACCAACCAATGGCTACAGGTTCGAATCCCGCCTAAAGCATGGATGTTTCTCTCTGTTCTTCTGTCTGTTGTCCTCTGTTGTGTAAATGTGGCCCATTCTATGAACGGGTATCTGTGGCAGAGTGGAGTGGGTAATGCTGCTCGCCTCCGTGACTTGGGTCTCAAGGTGGTCACCGGGCAACGCAAAGTGAGCAACACTTCCAAAACCTTCCTTGGCGAAAAACGATAAGTTCAGTGCCTGCCGTTAAAAAGAAGAAGAAAAATTAGCCAATGGCAATTTAAAGCAGATTGGGTCCGGTTATCAAATAGTACAGCACAGGACATCGCGTGGATGCCAGCTAAATACTGTCCTCGTAACGAAAGGGTTAATAGCAAGGATGTATTGTAGAATAATATAAAAACTAAATAATTTAACGATGGATTAGCAATAAAAGAACGAAAAAAAGCGGTGTTCTAACCAATCAGTAATATGAAGATTTTATTTGAAATTGTGTCAGTGATGTTTCTTTTCTTTTTAAAGGTGATCGCAGACTGCGTTGAAAGAGCAGCAAATATGGAAAATTTGAAGAGAGCAGTGTTTGCCCTTATATTATTAGGAAGAATGAATCCAACATTTTGCGATCTATTGGTAAAAGTAAGTTATTGATTTTTTCCAAAAAACTCCAACCGTTGTAAGAAAATGTCTTAGTTTAAATACAATAATTATGATTAAGTGTTGGGGGGAAGTTTCTCGAATTAGTTGTTACTTTAATTTCAAAAAATCATATGAAGAATATCATTTTCCCTGATCACTCTTCGTAACAATCACTTTATTTTGCTGCATGTCTCTTGACTTTTCTCATAAATTAAGTAATCAAACGTTCTTACATATTTCTACACTTTTTTTTCTTCATTGAAAATAAAAACCTCAAAAATGAGGGTTTTAATAGCTTCATAATCAGCAACTTGGCTCAAAAACAAATTAAAATTGCGTAAAGACAAGAAGAAAACTTTTTGTTCAAAAACATAAAGCTAAGAAACAGCTTTGCGAAACACAAATTGAAAAATTAAGTGCAAACAAAAGTAATAAACAGCCGAGCAAGAATTAAAAATAATTTTTTGTTCATAACGCATGTTTATAGGTATTAAAACAATTGTATTCTCTTAAATTTTTCAATTTGTGTTTCTTATGTCTTTTTATTTATTTATTATGTATTTTAGGACGAAATATTATTGATTTCAGTCAATAAGAACTACTGGACTAGAAACGCTTAGACCTTTAGATATCATTTACACATTTGTTGCTCGACGCACATTTAGTAACATTCTTTACTATTGCCTAGCTATGGAACTGTATTTTTAAAATGTTTCTGGTACCTAGTTATGGAAATGAATTTTATGAAGTTTCCCTGATGCCTAGCTATGGAAATGAATTTTATTAAATGTTCCTAATGCCTAGCTATGAAAATGAGTTTTATAAAATTTCCCTGATGCCTAGCTATGGAAATGAATTTTATGCAATTTTTCTGATACCTAGAGATATGGAAATAAACTTTAAAGAATTTTCCTAAGCAAATATTTTAACTGCAGATGTTTAGGATTTAAAATTTTTTAAATGGATAGTACCAAGATGGGGAATATTAAGAACAAAGTTGGAGATATAGTTAAGGTTATTTTTAATTGTTGAAAAAAGAATATCGTAGGATAGAGACGACTAAAACCATTATTAGAGTTAAAATGCAGGTGGTTTCGTTCTAACTGTTTAAATATTACAATATACCTACATGGAGAATAGTTTTACATCATTGTTAGAATTAAAATGCGCAATGTTTTTTTTTCAATTGTTTTAAAACGGTAAAATCTGAATAGTAGAGCTATAGGGTAGCAATTAAAAACCACTGGCTACCAGAGTCATAAAGATAAAAATTTTAGACAAGTTTAAAAACAATATGGAAAACTGTAGCAATAGTTTCAGAAGAAACAATCGACATGACCATTATCTTTACGATGGAAAAGAGCTTGAATGTCAAAATGTAATAACTCAAATCTCGTAATTATAACGTATTAAAAATACCGAGATTTTGAAAACCTTGTAAAAATCATGTTGTAATAACTCTCGGAAAAATCAATGAAACTAATCATTGCGAATCGACTCCATCAAATATTTATTACTGAAATGCTCACTTTGAAATTAACGCGTAATAATAAAAACGTATTGAAAATTATCTGAATTTTAAAAATCATGAGGAAATCCATAATTTTTATTTTTGAAAAAACAACTGACAAGACAATGCATAAATTTAAGGAGAAATCATCACAAATCGAGTCCATCAAAAAGTGATTAGTGAATATTGAATCATCATTGTTCAATATTAGCGTATGATATTACTGAATTATAAATCTCGGGAGTTAAAAAATTTTGTGTTAATCCATAGCAATAACTTTTAAAAACGCGAGCGACAATACTTTGTAAGTGATTATTTAAAATCGTGATTCGATATTTACGTATCGTAAGTATAAAAAAAAATCGCAGTCTTAAGAAAAATGTATTGTAATAACTCAAAAAAGCGAATCCACTAAAAATTTATTACTCAAAAGCACGATTCGATATCCTAGAGTCGTATTACCGTATTAAAATATTAGGATTTTGAAAAACATGTGAAAATTCGTAGAAAGAATTGCCGAAAAACGATCAAAATAAGAACTGGATTTGCGTAATTTATTCTTTCATATTAGGCCTGTTACATTCTTGTTACTTTTGGCTACTAAGCTTTGAAATTTTGGTAGCCATTTTCGATGTATTTGTCACCCTTTGGTGACTAGTGACTGATAATCTAGTAACTTTTAAGACCATTATTAGAGTTAACGTGCTAATATTATTATACTTGCAGTGTTTACCATATAACATGTTCTTTCAATTTAATTTTAAGCAAATCAATTAACAATCAATTTCAGAAGACTCCGCAAACATGCTATGATGTATTGATATTACTTCAGAAAACATAAACTGTGATATTTTACTCAAATATAGCCAGATAACGGATAATACACAAAACATGGCACACCTTAAATTAATTATTTCGATTGTAATATTAATTTTCTTAAATTTTTTTTATGCTCATGACCAGTTTGAATTTATAAATTACCTTGGAATTATTCACACATCGCCTCGTAAGCATAGCATAAGCGGATACACCGGAAGTTTTCTAAATTTCTTCCGGATTAAGGAAGCTTGTTATTGTTTACTGTCAACAATCCATAAATGAAATAAATAATTTGTAATAAATCATCAATGAAATATTTTTATTCTAAAATGGAGTGTAACTTTGTAGCTGGGAGCTGTGCGATCTTTACTTTCGATCTGCGTGGAAGATAAATGGAGAGATGTTCATCCATGTGCTCTTAGAGCGTTAACTGTTCTTACTTGTGTGCCTTCAGCTATCCGCAGTTTCGAAGAAGTAAGTACAATTATATTTTAAAACAACGCAATTTCTTTTCGTTGTCTTTTTTTNTTTTTTTTTTTTTTTTTTTTTTTTTTTTTTTTTTTTTTTTTTTTTTTTTTTAATAAGCCTGAAAATTTTATATTCGTCACAAGTCTGAGGGAGAGAAAATGGTTTCATGTTCTATTTTAAAAGAATTTTTATGCCCGAGAGTTTTATCAAGCATTTAAAATGGTGGGAAAATCTATGCTTTAACGTTGGAATAATGGCTTAAATCGTATTTAAATCATCGCGACGTTCAAATTATACGATTAATATTGTTACGGCACACAGTGAAACCTCTCGGGGAACAAAAACTCTGTTTCACAGTAAAATGGTCGTTAATGGAGGTGGGTCGTTTATAAAGGTTACCTCCACAGACTTCAAAATTGTTATCGAAAGTACATGATTTTTTGCAAACGATTTTATTTTTAGTCAGTGTCATTTCCTTGGTGTGGAAATGTCACGTGCGTTGGCGTCATGAAAATCGGAAAGATGAATAAAATTTAGCGTTCATAAAAATGATCCCTGCTGATATAATTATGAGTAAAAACAAATTTACCAATTATAAATGATAGAACTATTTTAAATAAATGAATAATTATATTTTTTGCTTCAGTTTGCATTAATTTTATTTCATAAAAATTAGTCAGCTTTAAAAAATGAGAAGAGGTTTACTTGTTTGAGATACTTAGTTTTTTTTCCTAGAATAACTTTTTTTTCTTATTTAATTCTTGTTTGTTTTGTTCATTTACGTCGCACTAGAGCTGCGCAATGGGCTTTGGCGACGGTCTGGGAAACATCCCTGAGGATGATCCGAAGACATGCCATCACAATTTTGATTCTCCACAGAGGGGATGGCACCCCCGCTTCGGTAGCCCGACGACCTGCACGCGAAGTCGAGCACTTTACGATAGAAAAGTTTAACGAGGACCAATACCACACACCCTCGCCCCCTGCGCAGACTGATCCAAGTGGGTCACCCACCCGCACACTGACCGCAGCCAGTGATGCTTGATTTCGGTGATCTGCTGGGAACCGTGTCTTAACGATCAGTCCACTGCGGGACCTTATTTAATTCTAAAAATGTATTATTGATATAGCATCATTAGCATCGTTTTTAGTGCAATATGACTGCAATATGAGGTTGTAGACCTCTTTCAAAAATCGTTAAAAAGAGCTCTCTAAATAAGAACCTCACACAAATATTTTCAATTTATTTTGATATTTTTTCGTGTTTCCTTATCTGACCTTTCAAGCATTTGGTGCAAATGTTTGCCCGGTCGCTGGGAGAGGTTTTGATGGTCTCTCCTAAAGGTTTTCTTCAACACAAAGTCTATGGAAAAAAAAATACGTTCCCATTAAAAGTGGTCGTATATAAAAGGAGGTCACTACATAGAGGTGGTCTTTCCCTGGAGGTTACACTGTGTTTAATTACAAATTTCCCGATTAATTTCGAATGTGAGTGTTCGTTCGTCAGGTGTCATTTTGAGTTAGCTATTTAAAATTCCAATCAAAAGCTTTTCTCAGGCTCAGGGCCACACAGTTTTATATTATTATAAAAACACACAGTGCTCGGGCAAAAACATGGAAACCCTTTTATCTTAACTCTATGTAATGAAATAATCATTCTTTTAGCTGCACATGCTTTGGAAGATTTTACAAGGCAAAACTGTTGGCACAATTAGAAAGATTACACTTTTTACTGGTACATTCGGATCGACCAAAATAAGGAGAGAAAGTTAATAAATTTTTTCGAGCAAGAGATAATACGAGAAATTCTGAAATCATTCTATAGGGTTGCACTATTTTTATAAGAATATTTTTTTTTAAATTTCAGCGATATTGTAAAATGAAAGATTTTAACTTCCTACTCTCCATTTGGACGGTGCGAACTTCGCATTAGTAAAAAAGACACCATTTCTAAAAACTTCAAGCATGATCTTTCAAATTATGGCAACAGTTTTGCCATGTAAAATTTTCCAAAACAGTTTCACGCTAAAAGCAAAATTATTTCCATGTTATAAAAGTTATTTTTATATTCCATTCCAGTTAGTCAGAAATGTATTCCACATTTTTGCCCAATCCTTGGACACGTTTAAATTATTTGAATTTCATTGTAATCAAATAATTTTAAATCAAATTTATTTACTGATTGTTATACATACAGATAGATGACAAAACAATACGGATACTTCTATACTAACTCTATGTAAATCTTTCTCTTGGCATCAAATGTTTGGGAAGATGGCAAAACTGTTGGCATAATTTAAAAGAGCTTGAAGCTTTTAGAAATGTTATTTTTAACCATGCGAAATTCAGCTCAACCAAATTAAGGAGAGGAAGTTATTTTTTCGAGCTTTAACACCTGTAGTTTTGCAATCATTCTATAGGATTGCAATATTTGTAAGCGAATGTTTTTTTAATTATATTAATATTAAAAAAGGAAAGAAGATTTTAACTTCTTACTCTCATTTTGGAAGATGCAAAATGAGAGAATTTCAAGAATAGATAACACCAACCAAAGAAGGATAACACGTCAAAGATACATCCAGGATAGAGAGGAGTTTGGGCTCACTTTTGGAGGTTCGAGCCAACCTCAGCCCAAGATACATAGGATTTCTTAGAGCCGCAGTCTGAGATATACGTTCTTCTGTTCTTAATATGAGGATAACTAATCTTTAAAAACATACATTAACAAAAGAAAATTACATAACTATAAATTAATAATATGGTAAAATGCATGTGATATTAAATAAAAACGGGAAGGAAATGTTCATTACATTCAGTATAAATAAAATTTATTGAAGTTAATTTAGACTATTTCATTTCCGTATACAAATACAAACTAATAGTCCGTGCCATGACATAGTTTCTCTATAAATTTTCCGGTCAACAAAGTGTTAATAACTAAACCAAACGTTTGTTTAAAAGTAGTAAAGAATTTTATCAAAATTTTATAATGAGCCCGAGCCTACCCAAGATAGAAAACTTTTTTCAATAAATGAACCCCATCTCGCGTCGGGCTCAAACTTGAACTAAACCCATCTCACCTCTAATCCAGGGATGTAGCAGGATTCTAACCTTACGTAAACGTTACCTTAACGCAAAAGAGCGTTTGGCGGAAAGGCTCGACCATTCGGCTAAGGCCCTTCTGAGCCAAATGTTAAAGCTAAAGTTTTGTTGAAACTCAAAAAAGTTGGTAAGTCTAAGAGTGATTTGCATGTGTTGTTTACACAAAAATGCTTACTTACATCACTTGTACCTCCAGTTTAGTAAAGAATTTTTAATTCTTTTTGCAGAACGGTGGAGTTGACTGTACGTGTGATGTACTCAGTGACAAAAATTCTGCAGAAGAAGCTCGGAGCGAAGCAGCGGGAGTCATTGCACAAATAACTGCACCCTGGACTGAAGGAAGCGCATATGTGCTACGAAGTGTGTCCGAAAATGCAGACAGATTAGTGCAATCCATAGCAAGTAAGTCAAGAAATCGATAAAACTCGGGAATGCAATATGCTTTATTTAAAAAATAACGAAGTGTGTCCTACACAGACAGATAAGTGCAATCCATAGCAAGTAAGTCAAGAAATCGACAAAACGCGAGAATGTGACGTTTTTTTTTCTTCTTTTTTTTTAAATAACGAAGTATGTCCGCCAATGCAGACAGATTAATGCAGTAAATAGCAAGTAAGTCGATAAAACTCGGGAATGCAATATGTTTCTTTTTAAAAAAAAAACGAAACACGTCAAACAATGCAGACAAGATTAGAGCAATCCATAGCAAGTAAGTCAAGAAATCGACAAAACGCAGCAATGTGACATGTTTTTTTCCCCTCAAAAATAACAAAGTGTGTCCGACAATGCAGGCAGATTAATGCGATAAATAGCAAGTAAGTCGGCAAAACTCGGGAATGCAATATGTTTTTTTTTTTAAAAAAATAACGAAGTGTGTCGAACAATGCAGACAGATTAGTGCAATCCAAAGCAAGTAAGTCAAGAAATCGATAAAACTCGGGAATGCAATATGCTTTATTTTAAAAAAAATAAGGAAGTGTGTCCGACAATACAGACACATTAGTGCAATCCATAGCAAGTAAGTCAAGAAATTGACAAAACTCAGGAATGCAATATGTTTTATTTTTAAAAAAATAAGGAAGTGTGTCAAACAATGCAGACAAGATTTGTGCAATCCATAACAAGTAAGTCAAGAAATCGACAAAACGCGGGAATGTGACACGGTTTTTTTTAGAAATAACAAAGTGTGTCCTACAATGCAGACAGATTTATGTAATAAATAGCAAGTAAGTCGACAAAACTCGGGAATGCAATATGTTTTTTTAAAAAAAATAACTAAGTATGTCCGACAAAGCAGACAGATTAGTGCAATCCATAGCAGGTAAGTCAAGAAATCCACAAAAATCGGGAGGAGTGCAATATGAATTTTTTTTATTACCAAAATAACGAAGTGTGTCTGGCAGTGCAGACAGATTAGTGCAATCCATAGCGAGTAAGTCAAGAAATCCACAAAACTATGAAGTGCAATATTTTTTTTTTAAATAAAATATACAAAAAGTACATTAACACGAGACTCTGATACCAAAACTCAATTAACCTTAAGCCAAAATAGCATTATATTTTGTTGGAACGCATTACATATTAAACACAAGCAGGGTGTCCACAAAATACCTTATCTATCCTCTTAACTATCGAACAGTCATAGTGATGAAATTTTTAGTCTAAAATATGGTGGAAATGTAGGATTAAAAGTATATTGCAAAGTTGTAGAGCATCTGCGATTAACCACAAAGAAAATCAAGAATCAGGTTGAAATTAATGTTAAAATGCTTAAAACAGGCGTTTATTCATACTTCATCTCTTACACTATGAAACGGAACAATTTTAGAAAGAAAAGAAAAACTACTTTTTACAATATTTATTTTCGGGGTTTTAATGTTTCTGTATAAAATCGTAAGAAAAGCCTGATGTTTTCGCTTTTCAACTTAAAGCAATTCTAATAGGGTAAATACACCGAAGATTTATTACTATTATTAGTGAATATAACNTATATTAGATAACAGAGACAGCTACAAATAGCATTAACTTTAAAAGGAATAAAAATATTTTATATAATTTGAATAATAATGGAATTCTGGGTATTATAGGCGTTGCTTCTGCCACAGAGAATAGTGAAGTGTTTCTTTTATCGTCTGCTGCCCTTGCAAATCTCTCATTTACGGAAAATGCCTTGAGCAAGATGAAAGAGAACAAAGTCTTGGAAATACTAGTGGATGCTTGCCGAAATAAAACTCATGCAGTTTCACTTTTCATCAAAGATCAGGTAATTTTTTTTTTTAAATCCATTCTCCATTTTGCAAAAAAAAAAAAGAAAAACGCTTAAAATGTTTTAAACTCTTTTCTGTTATGGAACATTCTCACTGCATGCGATTCGCATATGCGATAGTGGATCAATACAGTTCGCGCATGCGCGAGCAGTTTATCTTACACGTAGTTCGTAAATATTCGCACCTGCATCTAAGTCGATCACTTGCTATGTAAATGCTCCCTTACGCTTTAAGTCCTACAGTAGTTTAATAGCTAGATACGATTCCCAGTAGATCACAGAAGCCAAGCATCACTGGCAGCGGGCCGTGGTTGACCACTTTGATCAGCCTGCGAAGGAACCGAGGATGCTTGGTATCGGTCCCAGTTGAACTGTTCTGCTGTAAAAAGCTCGACTTCGAGAGCAGGTCGTCGGGCTACCAAGGCAGAGCAGCCGTTCCCTCTGTAGTAGATCGAAATTGTGATAGCATGTGTTAGGATCATTCTCAAGGATGTTTCCCAAACCGTCGCCAATAGCCCCTTGTACAGATCTAGAGGGACGTAAATTAAGTACCTACTATTACCTCTTTTAGCAGAAAAATGCTGAATTTTTGGCAATGTATTCATAACGAAAATTATTTTAAATTAAATTTAATAAATTCAAATCAAATTTTAAACATAAATTTTTCTACCCCTTAGAATAATCTTCTCTGAAAAGAGTTAATTTAGACAACCATGGATCGTGAACAATGTTGATTAATATATCGTTAAATATCGATATTTTTTAAATGATACTCTATATTCTCTCAACATGTATTGCAAATTTCATATCTTATACAGAAAATAGGAAGTACTAGAGAATTATCAATAATGATAGCTGTCGACTATGATAATATCATGCTCATTACCTTCATCGATATTTGTCATACACGAAAATATCGCGGCAACTGTCTGCAACGTTATATCTCACATAAAATCTTATTGTGAAATATTTACCATATTTCAATATAATATTAAGTTACATAGCTGTAGTTTCCAAAACTTTCTGGTTCTCTTTAGTGGTAGAGATATAACAACTGATTTTACAATTATAAGCACTTTTTAACTAACGCGTAATAAATAAAGAATTTTATAATTGTGTGCAACATTTTTTCGATTCGTTTAAGTCCTCAAGATATGGTGGAATACGCAAAAAATAAAATTAGCGTTAAGGGGTTCAAGCTTTGATCGCTTCTGACCAAACCATTTGGATCATATTTCCCAGATTGCGGCTGCGCCCTATATTTCGGGTGTCAGAATACCAATTCCGTTGTTTATTCAAAAAAAATACGCTTTTCTGTCTGATTTCGTAACTTAAAATATCATCTGTACTAATTATTCGATTAATTAGAAAATTTAAGGGGGTACCATCTGCCTTCAAACATTTAAAATTGAATCAGTACGTAAAAATCTGATCATTTGATCAAAAGTAATTCAAAATGTTCTTTATTTTTGTGCTTTGTGATTCTTCCAGTAACAAAGTTAGGTAAATGAAAGAATTTGTTTATTTTATTTTTATTTTTACAGGTTGCAACTGTTTTAGCAAACATGGCCGCCAAAGATGAATATCGGGAAATTTTGTCCTCAGGAGGAAGTTTATTTCTACTGATGCAATTCTTGCAATTGAAACCGTCAGCTAGCCATGGACCACCACAACTTGCTGCTTGTGAGAGAGTTCAGCAGAAAGCTGCAATTGCACTTGCAAGACTGTGCTCCAATGCAAATACATCAAATATAGTGGCAGAAATGCAAGGTGAATAATAAAAACATGATTTAAAATAGTAATACATAAAACATTAGTCAAGGTATTTAAATTTAACACAATAGTTTAAGATATAAATATGATTGGGTTAAAATAATATTCATAAAACTAAATTGTACTTATACTGTTATTCACCTTAGATATTAAATTTACGATTCACCTCTCTAGTTAGTTAGTTCTTAGATGGGGCCACTGTAAAACAATATTGAAATGTTTAAAAAAATGAGCTTATTTCAGGATAAATGAAACTAATTTATTTAATTAAAAATTTCATCGAGTTTTCAATTCCACTAAATTTTACAATAACAAAAGCAAAGTTTACCTTTCTTTTGAAGTACAAAAAATTTAAAAGCAGAACAATCGGCGATCGAAACGGGCTATAGGTGGCGTAGAGCAGAACTCTCTACCTATGGCAACACTTCGCATGTTTTCACCATTAGCGTGTGGAGAGTCATAGGAGAAGGAAATACGTAAATTTCTGTCTTGATTTTTAAATAGATTAAAATCTTTTGAATTAGAAAACTATAATATACTGAAAACTACATTAAACATAGTTCTGAAAGAAAGTTTCATAAAAAATATTTTTAACAACTGAATACAAAAATATTAAAAAAAGAAAAAATATCCCGTATTCGAGCGTTGTGATCACAAATTAATGAAATAAGAACAAACCGCAACTGATAATCCACAAAAGATTTTTAATTGCTCCATCTAATAACTAGATAATTAGAACAATAAATAGCCTCCTACGTTGACATTCATTTTTATAAATCTATTGTAATATCATAAGCATAAATAATAAAAAAAATGACAAATGTAACATTTCCATAAATGGTCTAACATTCATTTTGTATATTTTATTGACAGGAATTCAACGACTGGTGAAATTGTGCAAAGACAGAAAAGAACGGAATGACAGTGATTCAGTGCTAGTAGCTTGTTTGGTAAGTAATATCGATTTTAATTCACAAATTTTTTTGAGCAATATTTAACCTATATGAATTGCAAAATACATGAATACACACATGTAAAATTCTTTACATGAACTAGTTTTAATTGAGGTCGTGGCCAAAATACATTCATCTATTATTTATTATATCTAAGAAGAGTTTTCCACAACTAAAATACCACTTACATTTTCAGGTACGCACTAAATTTTTATTTTTGCATACATGTTGTATTTAATTTAGTAGACTGATTCAAAAAGCAGGGCTGCCTACTTTCTATGCTTTAAAGGGAAATTTCTTTTACTAGTAGCTTAGTTTGTGTTTTAATGCATTATCATACATTCTTTGTTTTACAAATTTGAATTAAAGTTATTTTCCACACCACTACATGTAAATGATCCAAAAGTTCATATAAAACACCACTTTGTTCCAGCTCTCTCGTGGTGAGGCTTTTATACTGTTGGCAAGATTACCCAAAATTCTGAAAATGTTTTTAAAAAAAGCATCATTTTATTGAAAATCAAACTGATTTCTCAACTTTTTCCGATTTTTAATAGCAACTCAAATTTTTTTTCAAATTATCACTTTTTAGTCGCCTTAATTTATCTATGTTTTATTTATCTACTCCTGTTGTAATTACAATCACAAATCTCTGATCTATAACTCTGAACAGGCACATTAAGCTTATGCGCTTCCTCTAATCTCCTCAATTTTTCCCAGTCCGTTACCATGGTTTCGCAAATATTGCTTTCTTTCCCACAACAGTATGTTTCAGTAAGAAGTTGGAATATACTTGCGAAGGAAAAAAGCCAGTTTTTTCTGAAACCATGATAATGGAGTGAGGGAAAGTGTAGATAGTGGGGAAATCCTTGAGGCGCGGATTCTATTTATAAAGAATATAATATGGAAATGTTAAATCTTACCTTTCATCACTAACAAGTGCGTTTTTCAGGCTGCTCTGAGGAAAATTGCCGCTGTGCGTCAAAAAGAAGAATTCATAAAGCTTGGTGCTCAAGAACTTATAGAACCACGATTGTGGGATGCCTTTCTAGCACACTCCTCAAAACGGGAGAGTTACGTATGAAAAGGATCAAATTGTATATTTAGATTTGCGGGAACTACTATGAACAGGAGAAAGTTGCTGTTTCTTAAAGTTAAGAGCAAGTGCTATTACCTAATGACCCAAGGATCTGGAGGGGAAGAAACTATTCATCAAGATCTATTAAATGTTATCTGTGAAGTGACCAAGTAAACAAAAAAAAAAACTTATGCATGTTCAGGCTGCATTTCGTAGCTAAGGGGCTATGTTATCTAAAGCTTCATTTAGTTAACTTTAGAATCTTGGCTACTTTTTAGAAATTCTCTAGTCAGATTCTCACTCCTCAAAGTTCTTTAGAATGTTTATAAATTTTAAAGCCCAATGTTCTCTAAAGTTGAGGAAGACTTTTATCTATGTTAAAATTCATATCTTTATATCCATGTGACCCTATTTTGCATGACTAAAAAACCAAGTTATTACAAAAAAGTAGAGCTGAGGAATGTATCAATATTGTTTACACATCGTGGTATTATTATTTTTAAAATTATATCAGGAGATATCTTGAATGCTGTCTTTTACAATTAATATTGTATGAACACTGATCAATACCAAATACGATAATGTCGTGATTATCGATAGCGATAATTTTCAAACATAATATCGCGATCAAAATTGACAGCAATGAATGACGAATTAGACGTTATCGCGCTCTTTATCGACAATGATAAATATAGAATGAGACATTATCGCGATCATAATCGATATCTAGAAATATCTCATTTAATAATATCACGAATATTATCGAATGCAATATTATCATATAAGTTTTGAAAAATTTCATTTGGCTAATAAAAATATTTATAAATGTAAAAATAATGTAAATTAGTTAAATTGAGAAAACTTTGCATTTTACAAAAATTTTATCAACTAGCAGTATTTCTAAAATCATAGAAAGAAACAAATTTCTAAAGTAGGAAAGCAACCTGGTTCTTCCCCAAACTAAGTTTGTTGTCAACAGTTAAAATAAGGTGATTTAAGCTTTCAAACTAATAAAATACCTAAATATATATTGTATAAAAAATATACATACATATTATAAAACATACTTGTTTTGTAATTAAATCATCATTTGTAATTTAAAATTAAATATTTTTTTTACTACTCAATTATTTAGAATATATTTCATGTTGAAAATTAAAATTACGTTCATAAAAGACTTTGAGAAGGAGTAGAAAATTGTGATAAATATTTTGCTGCATTGTAATCATTTTTGGATGAAAATAAAATGGATTTTGGATATTGCGCATTTTATTAACTTTATTCTTATTAATAGTGTACACATTCGCAAAAGTAAATTATTGATTTTGCATGTATAATTACCACAATAATCACAGTTTTTAAGATAAGGGGGGGTTCTGTAAATAAGCATTATTTTGGCAGTAAATAAAAATAATTTTGCACTAAATTAGCTGTAATTTTTTACTGTTATTTGATAAATGAAGCAGATTTCTATTTTTTGACCTGAGAAAACATTTTTTTTTAGTGCTTTAAAAATCCATCCTGCATAAAGCTTAGTCATTTGGGACCTATTTAGAAGTTATTGCAATGTCACTCGGCTTTAATTGAGCAGGTAACTTTTATGCCACACCTAAACATAGTTTGTCAAGATACTTTGGTCAAGGCCTTCGTGTGTTGGGAAGTTATGGGAACTTTGCTTTTCCCAGTCCTGGAATGTGATGCAACAATTACAAGAAAAGTTTTAACGCCTGTTTAAACAGTTCAAGCTCTTGAATCTGAGAACTTCAAGGAATTTCCCTCTCCAAGAAATTGAATGATTTATCGAAACTAACCAAGTTCTTAAATGTCACTGATTGGTCGGATGAGAAACCTGCACATGCACATTGTTCATATTCAACATTATAAAATCATACTTGCATGAATTCAAAATTATTAATTTAATTCAAATAAAATTGCAATGACACAAATAGACCCTAACAGATTAATGTATTTGGATTGAAATATATGAAAATGGACAACAATATGACATAATCTAATGCCTGCTTGTTGACGACATAAAACTTTAGAAGCCGATTGGTTAAGGGAGGCAAAACTTAAATGGATAGTAGAACATACTCTACTATCATCTAAGGACTTCGACCAAAAACTTGGATGATCGTTTACACAATCCAAGTTCCAAGCAAAACAAGTTTCCATTAATTTCAATCAATCTTCGTCTAAGTATTTAGATTGTATAAACAGTCCTTTAGTTTCCTGACTGAAATTTTGGATATCAGGGACAAGACTTTTAAAAGTTAATGAATGCTGTTGAAAGTTCTTGTGACAATTTTATGAAAAATTAAAAAAATTGCTGTTGGAACAAACAGTTGAAAAATTACCCTTGAAAACAAATTATTACTGTTGATATAATGAATGTTTTCGTTTTTTTACTTACTGCATTTATTTTTATTTACATTATTATCAAAACTGCACATACATTTTTTAAACAATATGTCGAAGATAATTTTATTTTGCTACAAAAGTAGATTTTCCTGAGTTCAAGTTGTAAAATACAGCTTAAAGTTTCTTCTAACAATATTCTAGAATTTTAAAAATTAACTTTAATCTGTACTGTCATAACATGTTTTTACTAACAGAATTATTTTAAAAAATCAAAAAAGAACTGATACCAAATAAAGAAATATGTCATCCCTGGAAGTTTGGAATGGATCTTTTAAAAAGTGGTTAGATGAATTTCTGATTTACAATCGGAAAGTTGAAGTAATTTAAAGCACAATCCATTTGCTAGGCGTCACAGAGCTTAGCCATTTAAAAAAAACATAAGTGAGTTTTTGGATATATTTTCCTTGAAGTAAAACATATATGGAGGATCATGTAATAAATACTGCAGCTTTCAGTCCTCAGATGATATTGTGGTTCTCTGTTTAGAATTAATATTACCTAATTATTGAAGATTAATTTTTTGCCAAGTCTTTAAATGAGCAGATTTTAACGCGAAAACTATCACTGCTTAATCTACTAAAATCACTACTTAAAGCCAATTTATTTAAATTCATTTATGTTTTTAAAGAAAATTAAAGCAAAATCAATAAATCTTATTTTGATAAAAAATAAAAAGTATAAATTAAGAATTTATTGCCACTTTAATATGTTTTATAGGACAAATTTTCCGTAAACATATTTTCAAAAAAATTCTTAAAAAATCTATCATAATTTGTTAATGATAATGTGTAAAAAATTCAGGTAGATTAGCATGCACTAATATTGACATTTATAACTATTTTGTAGTTCATCAGAATGCAGCATAGAGCAAAGGTGTAGTACAAATGTAACAACTTGTATGTATATATAAAAAGAGAAGTAATTAAAATAAAAGAAATTTATTATACAACATATAACAAATTAATTATAATTTCACTTTAATATATACTAGGTATATTAGAGTATGTATTAGAATATTCTAATACAGAATATGTTTATATGTATATTAAAATACTAATAATTCTAATATACTATTTAATATGATTTATACAACAAATTTTGCGTAATCATATTTGCAAAAAATCTTAAACAATCTATCATGATTTGTTAATGATAATCTGTCAAAAATGCCAGTCAATTAGTATGTACTAATACTGACATTTATAATTATTTTGTAATTCATCACAATACAGCATAGAACAAAGATGTAATACAAATGTAACAGCTTGTAAGTATATATAAAAAGAGAATTAATTAAAATAGAAGAAATTTATTATACAACATTTACAATAAATTAATTCTAATATTAAATAAGAATTTTAAGCTCATTTCTAGATATACAGTGCACTGCAAAAACAATTCAGTGCAATTTTATGGTTTTTAAGCTATGTTTTAAGTACTATATTGATTTTAAATAATAAGTGTTTCATTAAAAAAGAAAAAGAGAGAAAAATAAATACAATATCAACTTAACATTTCCTGAGTAGTTGAAGTATATGAAAAAAAAATTCAGAACAATTGTGTAAAATATTGAAATTATTGACTTTAATAACTTTTGATAAACTAATAGATGCAAATTTTTCAGTATATAAATACAGTTTTGCGTACAATAAATGACAATAAAAATAAACTTCAAGGGAAAATTTAAAAACACAGTGAACATCTATAAAGATGTTAAACCCCAAATCTTCAAAGAAATTAAAGTTCTTGTAATAAATAAGTTTTTTTTTTTTTAGAGCTAGCTCAAGTTTTTTATGGAACACTCAGATAAATTTATATTATTAATATTATTTTAAAATATTGAACACTAAACCTTAATCAAAATAGTCTTCAATATCAACATCAGGATTTAAAATATCTTCTCCGTATGGTGTTAAATCTAAAGAATTAAGAATTAGGTTCTCAAATGTTTCTTCTAAATCTGTTTCTCCAATTAATACAGCTCCTTGCATCCTTCCGTTTTTCATCACCACTTTAGCATATTCCCTACGTTCAGATGTCCTTACTATAATTTCATAGTCATTCCCTAATTTCTGTCCATTATAAAGTCCCAAAAGCACGACCTATTTTATAATACAAAATTAATTCACACTCCTCACCAGTTAAAACATATATAGGATGATTAAAATTAAACAAACCGGAATTAACCTTTCATTACACAATCTCAGATTTTACCTTATCATTACTAACCTTACAGATACTTATTTGAGCGGGAAATGACAAAAGGTAATCCCCATTGGAAGTATCCCTTTAATTTTTTTACTCCTAAGTTAGACAATTGTATAAACTGAAGTCTGCTATAGCTTTTGGTTTTCTCTAACGCTGATCACTTATATCGCCATTATTCTTGCTGCCTATAATATATCATAGATGAAAGAGTGGAGTGCCCGCTTTTGCAGGCAGGGCAGGGCTCGAAAAAACTCAGAAATTTTACCCGTCCTCCTTTGAAACTAACCCACAGCTTTTAAATAAATAAAAATACAATTTTCTCTTATTTATAATTAATATTTATATAAATTGCACAATGAATTAGTAGTTACTAGAATTACATTATACAGTAATAAAAGAAGTACTAGGTAACTAATAGTAAACTCTAGTATTTCCTTTATGAAATAATTTATTTATTTTATGAAATAATTTAGATGACAAAGATCAAGATATCTGGAATGTCAATTTTTCCGACGGTACTGCGTTTTTTAAATGAATCAAATATGACGTTTGCCAGTTCCACAATCAAGCCAATGATTTACAGAGGCTTCTGCACAGAAATCTGAAAGGGGTTTTCCATTTAGGAAGATGTTCATAATTGCGTTTAACGCTTCTTGTTTGAGACCAGTACGTAACGTGTTTTTTTGTAAGTTCATTTCAACCTCTGCAGTACTCCCAGACAGAAAAAACATCAATTCACCCATGCGCAGTATGTTGCTATATTTCTAGATTAGAGGGTCATTTTAGAAATGAGGGGCTAGACTCTTGTAAAATAACAAAAATTGAAAATGTATCACGAACATTAACGGGAAAATGGCGGTCCGCGCGGACGTCGGATTCGANTCTTGTTTAAGACCAGTACGTAATGTGTTTTTTTGTAAGTTCATTGCTGAAAAGCCCCTTTCAACCTCTGCAGTACTCCCAGACAGAGAAAACATCAATTCCACCATGCACAGTATGTTGCTGTATTTCTAGATTAGAGTATCATTTCAGAAGTGAGGCGCTAGACTCTTGTAAGATAACAAAAATTGAAAATGTATCACGAACATTAACGGGAAAATGGCCGTCCGCGCGGACGTCGGATTCTAGAAATTTCTTGTCCGCGGTAAATTTTTGACCGCCGAGGACGGGCGGTTTTTCGAGCCCTGAGGCAGGGACTCGGTATTAAACTTCAGTCTAAGTCTAACCTTTCATTATTTAAAAGATGAAGTTTCAAATCAATAAAATTTGACTGCTATTGATTCAAACATGTAACTTCAATTGTTATTGTAATGTCATACAATTTAAAATAGGAAAATATATTTTCAATCCCATTCTATATATCGAAAAGTATGTCTTCAATTCTATTGTAATTTTCATCATAAAAAGTATAAAATTATATTTTGTTTTAATTCTTATGCAAATATCATTATATCAAGGAGAAATATGCTGTTTTAAGATAATAGTATAACTTCAGTTACAATGTAAATACTATTAAATCAAAACTTATAATTTTAATCATCATGTAAATGTCATTATATTATAAGGATTAAATATACTTTCAATCCCAATTAAAATGTCATTATACCTAATGGTAAGTCTTTAAGCCCAACTTTCATTGTTATTATAAAGAAAAGTATTATTTCAAACCCATTGTAAGTATCCATAATATCAAAGAGAAACATGCAATTTTAATTGCCAAGTAAATATTCTATCTAAGGAAAAAATATACTTTCAAGGAAAAAAATCTAAATGTTATTATATTTGAAGAGAGAAACATGCATTCAACACAAAATGCAAATTTCAGTGTAGCAAATAAAAAATATTATTAAATATTCTAAATTATAATTGGCTTCATAGTAAGAGTCAAAAAATAATTTTATTAAAAATTACTAGTTATTATAGGACTAAAAACTAATTTCAAAATAATAATAATAACTAGTTATTTTAAGAATTAAAAATACTCCTTTTAATTATTATCTGTCATCATTTTTAAACACATGGTAAAAATTAAAAACATTTTGATGTGAATACTATAACTATTGTTCCATTACAATCAATTAAAAGAAAAATCAATTATTTCAGAATGGTCACTTATGGTCATTATTAAATAAGAACAACACGGGTAAAATAGGTTATTTGATAATAATTTATGACTTATAAATAAAGTAAAAAAGTCTTACTTTGTATCCAAAAAATTTTGTTACGTGTGTAAAAAGATCGAAACAGATATCAAGAACTGCAGTTTCTCCTTGAAGCTCAGAAGACATGCATTTAGCAGCATAGGCTCCCATTTGTCGAGCTTGAGTCCAAAGACGCATCTGTTGAATGAATATGAAAAAAATATATAAGTAATCACTTTGCAAAAATTAAACTTCACTAAATGCAAAATAATATAAATTAGAAAAGCTTCACTTAATTTATAATAACAAAGAATTTCTAACAAAAACTTCTATACATTATCTTAAATAAATTAAAGCTTAAAAAATTTTTTCCTTTTTATTTAGATAATAAAAAACTGTACAATACTTCTTTTTAATGATTTATATAAAACAAGCCAATTTTATATCTCAATATTAGCGATTAAAAAAATATTTAATTTGCCAATTTCTAAGCAACATTTTAATGGGAAAATGTTATTGAAGTGGCCACTGGTCTTATGAAGTAGCCATGTACTCTTATATTTGAAGAAGAGCAACATGCAAAAGGGTTCAGAGGTGCATGGATGACTGGGGAAATTCTTGCCCCGGAAAAGGGGATACTGACTCCTATTGAAGAGCAAAAGCTGAATAAAAATGTTGGCAGATTTTGTACTTTATATTCATTTTCATGTTAATGTTATCAAAAGTTATCCTGTGGCAAAAAAAATTAAAATTTCCAATAAAATATTAATTTTTTCTTAATTTAAATATTTATATTTTAATGGTCATTAACTTAGTAAAATATGTGCTTGAGTTGAACAGTTTCCTATTGAAAAATTGAATTTTAGAATAAAATTAACAGAAGTAGATTTATTTTTAGTGTCCTTAGTGATAACCCCTTTGCCTCCCCCCCCCCTCAGCATGCAACCAATGGGGTTTATAAGCAATTGCAAAAAACAGTGGATTTGAGACTCCTAATTTATATATAGAAAAATTCACATTAAAAAATTTTCTAAAAAAAGTTTTTTTTCAAACCGAAACTCTACAGAATTCATGCAAAAAAAGAAAAGGAAAGAAAGAGATTAAAAAAAAGTTTTTTTAATAAGTCACAACTGCGTACTCTTTTTTAACCATATTTTTGATTTTTTTTCTTAATTGTCAATTTTAAAATGTAATACAATAAAAGTTTATAAGAAAGCTAGATAAAAAATATGCTTCACAAGAATACTATATTTTTAGTTAGAAAATTTTGTTGCATTAAATGTACTTAAAATGCAAGAATCAAATACTTTAGAAAATTGTTCAACAAAAATGTTATTCTAATTTAAAAGTATTACCTTTTAAAAAAACAAATTTAAAATCAAAATAACACAGCATGGGATTTTCGCTGTATTTTGTATAAAGAATTATTAAAAAGAAATTATAGATTTTATTACAAAATAAATTAAATCTTTTAAAAATACATTTTTTAATACATATTAAAAGTGTTTCCATCTTTAATGTTCTGTTAAATATTTTTAAAAGAAAAAATTGCATGTATGAAATAAAACAATCAAAGACATTACCTGGAACCAATGTTCGGACAATGACCAAGAAGCAGTACAAGCATCTCCTGCAGCGAAAATGTCTTCCAAATTGGTTTTCATTTGATCATTAACAGCAATACCTCCATCATCAGCAATCAACAACTAAAGAATTCTGTTATAATTATTTTTTTTTAAAATCAACTTAAAAAAACAATAAAAAAAAGCACACATATTTTACAGTAGAAATAGGACAATTCCATCATTTATGTATGTCATCTTTGTAGAATTTAAAAACATATGACTTAGTTTTAAAAAAAAAGTTAATAAATAAAAATTCAAGCAAGCTTCAATAATTTTTGCTAAATTAACTTTAAAACTAAACTAAATTAGTTCTAACTACATAATTAATGTCATTTGCACTCGCTCCAAATTTTAAAAATTTTAAGAAATTGATTTTCCTTAAATTAAAAACTAACAGTTATGTACTTAACATGCTGTATCTACTGCCAAAATCACCCTTTTTTTTCAAATTTTTAAACTTAAAAATTGGATGAAGTGTAAATGACATTAAGAGTTATTTTAAGAAAAAGTGTAAGAACTGCTAGAAATTTTTCATTGTGTAATATGCTTCGAATTTCTGAAAATATAACATTCATAAATGGTGAAATCACCCAATATTATATATGGCATTTGAAAACTAATGTAATTTTAACCCCTTTAGATAATAAGATTTTTTACAGTGCAATTAAAATAATGCAAACATGTTTTTGACAGAATTTTAATAATAAGAGGGATAGAGTGCTCGCCTCCCAAGAAATGGCCTAATCTCAACAATCAATACGAATTCCGCAAATGCCTTTCACCAACCACAGTGCTGATGCTAAATACCCTCAGTGGTAGATGGATCATGGATTAGAATCCCCATGCTGTCAGGCTAACCGTGGGAGATATTCATGGTTTCCCTCTCCAGGTAATACAAAAGCAGGTTAGTTCCTTAAAAAAAGTTCTCCACGATGGCACATGTCTCTCAATACTTTATCCAGGAGTTCCCTTGTCTTTTGGATTGAGTTCAAGATCACAAGGCTATGAAGGTGAACATTGGTAGTCATAAACTCAAAATTTGGTTGGTTGTTCAACTTCGGTATTTAAAAAAATACAAGTGTAACAATGTGGAGTCCCTAGACCCACAATCTATTCCTCACTGTAAAAAAAATTTTAAAACAAAACAAGGGGGGGGGCAAACTTCTGCATATGGAAAACTAGAAGCATTGACTCAATTAAAAAAAATATTTAGCACCGCAGTACAGTTAATATATCATCAGCAATTTTAAATCAGAAAGCTGTTAGGGGATACTTACTTCATTTTTTAGTAGAAGTGAAGTATTTGGAATAACGCCTGTAGCACTAATAACAAAATCACAACCAAATACAGAACCATTTGTTAATTCAACATAAACAGGCCAAATATCTGAAAAGAAAAAATATAGGTGGAAAAAAAAATAATTTTAAAATATCAATGCCTTCAAACTTGGGATAAGTTTGGTAACAAATCTAAATTTTTTTTTAATTGTTATTGTTCGAATCATCATTGATGTAACTAATTAAACACTTACCATTTCCACTTAAGTTTAAATTTTTCCTCCATACATTATTTTGAAAGGATGCAGACCAAAATATTGAGACAACTAGCTTCCAAAAATCATGTGAGCCTAAGCTTTTCTCCCGAAATAAAAATGTATGAATTTTATGCAAGTCTTGCGCCAAATCCTAAACCTGCTTAAATTATTCTACACGCACATATATATATATACAGTCGGACCCCGATTTAACGAATTCATCGGGACCGGAAATTTTATTCGTTAAATCAGGATTCAAAAAAAATTTTTTTTTTTACATATGTATTATTAAAAATTACTAGTTATAAACGACTATCTAAGATAAGAAAGGAATTTCTTGTTTGACTCATAGTCCGCATGACAAACCCCCAGAAAATGACCTTGCAAGTGTAATGTCTTATTGACTGTGCCCACCTACCGACGACGAATTTTGTTTTTCCCTGTTGCGGGCTTTTCTTTTGTTTGAGACGAATATGCACTTTCTCTATTTTATTCCTCCCAGGAAAGGTTTTTTTTCCCTTTAGAATCTGCAAATTACAAAAAAATGCAATATTTTTCTGATCAAAATTAATGAAAAATATTTTTTCCGGATGCTTAAATAATTCGTTAATTAGGGATTTTTGACTCTGTGTTTGTTGGGGTTNTTTCCCTTTAGAATCTGCCAATTACAAAAAAATGCAATATTTTTCTGATCAAAATTAATGAAAAATATTTTTTCCGGATGCTGAAATAATTCGTTAATTCGGGGTTTTTGACTCTGTTTGTTGGGGTTGAAAAAAAAATTTGTTAAATCGCAAAATTCGTTAAATAGGGGTTCGTTAAATCGGGGTCCGACTGTATGTATATATATATATACTAAACAAATGATATATATATATATGTATATATATATATACTAAACAAATGATATATATATATAAAATTTGCTTAGTTTATAAAAAAAAATCTCTTCAGTATTTAGTATTTTCTTATCATCTGATAGCAATATAATCAAAAAAACTAGTTGAATAATACAGTTAAAAGAACTTAAAACACAGTAATAAAATACAGTTAAAAAAACTAAATAGAAGGTGTACTATTGATTCTTTCAGTTAAAGAAACTGCCAATTTATTTCAAAGCAAACTTAGTCGAACTTATTTGAATAACTTACTGGTAAAAATTAAAATATTATTATAAATTTTTTATTGGTTATCAAGTTGTTCATTGGTTATTAAAATATTATTATAAATTGTTTAGAATCAAAATGATATGAATGCTTAATTTTTTTTAAAGTGATTAGGACATACTTTTAGATTTGGATGTTTGAAACGTTATTTCCTTCAGATCCTGTTGCAGAAACTCGTCTCTTGAATGAATATTTTTAACCTCACATTCATATTCAACATGAACGTTTCGCTTTTCCTAATGTAAAAATAAACACTTATAAAACTTAAATTTAATGCAGAAAATATTTTTTAAAAAAAACTCTAAATAACTGAACAAGTAAAGATCTAAATCTAGTTTACAAAGTTTAAAAATTTGTATAATAAAAGCAAGGTACTGACATAGTTACAGTTGAAAAAAAGTTTTTTTTTCCAATACTAACATGAACTTAGTGTAGTTTTGTGCAGTTATGTTTGAGATGCACCTAAAACAAACCTACCCATATTTCCTCTTTTTATTTATAGATAATTTTGAAATAAACATTATTTAATGTAAAGAATAAAAAGTGCAATTATAATGTGAACTAAAAACTGAACAGGGAAAAATTAAGAGAAAAATAAAATAGATTATTTCTAAAAAATATATAAACATGAATAAAATATTATCAACATAACAAGCATGAATATCAGCATTACAAACATGTATGTATACATATATATCTATACATATTTATCTATATCCACAAATTTATCCAACAGAATAATTTTCAAATTAACTACAATAGTCAAAGTACAATACAGAACACTGCTAAATAAAGAACAATTTCGACCACCTCTACAAAAAGAACAAACAAGAATTGTCCATTCAACAGAGAAAAAAATTTAAAAGTAACATTTAACTGATTTCTCCCCAACAAAGGAATAATAAACACAATAAGATTAAAGAAAAGAGAGATATAATTTGAAAATTTCTTCATTAATTAATTTTCTGAATTATTTTAAATACTACACATGTTGTAACTTTTTCAAAATTTATAAATCCCATACTAACTAAAATTTAGGGAGGTAAGAAGCCCTATTAGTATTTAAAAGTAATCTTTCAAAACTGCAGAAACAGAAATATAAAATGCAACCAGTTCTATGAAATATGAAAATTAAATCTTTAATCATATATAATCCAGATATGAACAATTGGAAATTGTTGTACAAACAATGGAAGTTTTAATTGTACTAATACTGTATGCAAATCAATTATTTTAGGAAGAGAAACACTATTCTGCATTTTTTGGATCACATAGTGGATAAACAGTATTTAACATCGCAGCATTTAAAGCAAAGTTAGAAAAAAATAGCAATGAGTGAATAGTAAAAATTATATATGAATAGTGAATAACTCACAGTTATTTTTAATAGGAATATTTTATGCTAAAATATTTTTTATAAAAAATTCGAGAATAAAATATTTAATTCTTAAAACTGGATCAACAATATCTAAGAAGATAATACAAGGAACATTTAAGACATTAAGTGCATAACTTTAATATATATTTACCAGAGTTTTCCCTTTCATATTAATTTTTGTTGACCAATCAGGACCTAAAGCACTTCCCATCACAGAACTTTGAGGATTACCTTATGAAATAGCATAAAAATTATAAGTTATTAATTAATTATTAATTTTTTAATTTATTTACATAAGCAAAAGATTATATGAATAAACCTAGAATAGAGAACAATTTATAATAATCACTTCACAATTTTGATCAACTTTAAATAATTATGATTCGATAATTCAATANTTATAGATATAATAAGGGATATAATAATTATATATCCTTTATTATATCTATAATAAATATATAAGATATACTAATAGATATAAGATATAAGATATACTTATATCTATAATATATATCTATAATAAATATAAGATAGGAAAGATATAATAATTATATGAATAAACCTAGAATAGAGAACAATTTATAATAATCACTTCACAATTTTGATCAACTTTAAATAATTATGATTCGATAATTCAATATTAATTATTTAGTTACAAATTGTGTAAGAAAAGGACCATCCTGAATAACTTTTAATCTAATGATCAGATTTTCATGTTCTAGGACTCAATGTTAATGGTTCAAGGGGATGACCTCAAATATACTAATTAATTAGTGCAGATGTGATATTTGAAGTCATGAAATCAGACACAAAGACGTACTCTCTCTGAATAAATAAACATACCTTTTTTTTCGACACATTTGGATTTCTAACCCCCGAATTATAGGGGGTAGCCGCAATCTGGGAAATATGGTCTTAACAGTTTGGTCAGGAGAGTGGTCCAAAGTTTGGGACCCCTTAATGTTAATTTCATTTTCAGCGCATTTTGCCATAACTCCAGAATTTTTGAAACGAAAAGAACATTTTTGCATACCATTATAAAATTTGTTTGCCCTACGATAGTTCCATGCAAAATGTAACTTTTAGTAAATATTTACTATTTTTTATTATTTAATTTAATAATAGTCAAAAAATTTTTGAATTGTAAGATCTAGGACTAGTTTTTTACATCATTACAAAGAATGCAATTTTTAAACAGCAAAATATCAAATTTGAGCAAAATCAGTAGAATAATACCCGAGAAATCAAAGACATATGTTTATTCAGAGAAAGTATGTTTTTCTGGCTGATTTTGTAACTTAAAATATCGTATGTACTAATTTTTTAACACATTTGAGGTTACCCACTCAAACCATTAGATTGCGTCCTAGAACGTGAAGATCTGATCATTAGATTGAAAATTGTTCAGGATGGTCCATTTTCCATTTTGCGTACTGGTACATCAATAATTATTTGAAAATTGAAACTGCTACTGTTAAGAAATATAGAATAGTTAACAATCTTATAATAATAAGTTCTCCATTTTTATAAATTCATAACCACAAAATGTTTACCACACAAAAATTCAATATCGATTATCATTTATTAGTATATCAATAATCTGAAAATTGAAACTTCTACAGTCAAGAATTTTAATTTAAAAAAATAATTAAGATTAAAAAAAATTTTAGCTTTTTGATAAAATAAATTAACTTAATTTTATTGAGGTACAATCAGATAAAGACACAACATCATACAAATATTCTAAGCATTTTTATAGAAAGCATTCGATTGCATTCAACACATAATAATTAATGTTCAAAAATTGTATACCTTCTAATGTGTACTTTAGTCGCTTAGATGGGGCAGTCTCCTTCTGCTTGCTTTCATTTAAACAAGGTAAGAAAAATTTTGCAGCCCCTGCATCAAAAAAAGTTGAGCCAACTGACTTATCTTTGATTGCCCAAATGATATCACAGTTTTCTATTTCATACCTAAAATTAAAAGTTTCATCAATAAAACCTACTGACCTTTGACCCATGCTCCCCTTTTCAAAGAAAATATACATTTTTCATTTTTTAAAAGGAAAATAATGTGAAGAGTTTGTTTTTAAAATGAAAAATGCAGTGAAAGGTCCATTTTTAAAATAAAAAAATATTGTGAAAGGTTCAATTTTAACATGAAACTATTTTGCGATGGTCCTTTTTTGAGATATAATAATTTCTGAAGGGTCATTGAGAATAAAATAATGAAATAATATTAGAAGGCCTATTAAAAGACTAAAAAATTTTCCAAAATTTTTTCTAAAATTTTTTCCCTGCTTAAATTTCTTAGGACTTATTCCCAGCACTTATCTCCTTCAATGTGTAAAAACTAGGTTTTCCAGAAAATTAAAAGAAAAAGAAAACAGTGATAAATTTAGTGTTAACGTTTAACAAGATAAATAGTATGTGTACAACCTGATATCTCAAAACTTTGTGTGCAGTTTCTTTGTCTGATTTAAAAGTAACATAGAAACTATACAATTTACAATAAAAAAGAGATATCTTTCTTTAAACTCATTACAATAAATTTATGAGGAAACCCTTAATCATAACATTGCAATTTCAAAATATAAATCAGAAAACCAATATAGCCATCTCATGTTTTAATGTCCATTTCTGTTTTGATGACAAGGGTAATTATACTGAATAAAGCCAATAGAAGTTCAATATCTACTTTAAATTTGTTAGTTAATTTAAATATTAAGAAGAAACAAAACTTAAATTTGAATTATGAATAATACTGCTAAATGATATATAAATAAACCGTGATTAAAGATAGAACCTACACAATTTCAATTGCAAGGCCACCATTTCCAACTACAATAACACGACTTGCATCTAAAAGTTTTCGCTGAAATACCTAAAACAAAATTAAATTAATTTAAAGTATACATAGAAAAGTATAAATATGATAAACATCCAAATGAGGCTTTTAAAACAAATGAAATATTCCCTATACATTATAACTCACAGAATAAAAATGAAAAGTACTCCACTAGCCTGTAAGTACTGTAAATGCTGATGATGATTTCCTACAGAAATTCCCACAAACACACATTTATACATTTGACTCAAGAATGTCTTTGTCTTAAGAACTGAATTCAGAATTACAAAGTTACTAAGTTGAATATTAACAGTCTTATATTGACAATATGAATACATAACTATTGACAGATAAAAAGTTAAAAATCAACCATTCATATTCTTATTACCAACAAAGATTATAACTATAAAAACCACATAACTTATTAATTTATTATAGACAGATTTATTAAATTTTTTCACATTAAAACATGAAAGAAATATTTATTTTATTAAAAGAGTGAGTCATTAGCTGCAATTAAAATTTCAGATACAAATTAAGAAATAAATTATGTAATTACGTAATAAACATTAGGTGGCAATGTGTGATAAATACAAACAAAAAAATTTTTTAAAACAGCAATAATGTTAAATAGCTTAATTTTCTTTCTTTTTTTTCATATAAAAGCACATGATATGAAAACTTTCCAAACTTGTGCCTGCTTATTTTAAAACTTTCTTATTTAGGCCCTATAGCTCCCCTTAATATTGACCCATAATATTCTAATTGGATCACCTTATATATTACCGGATATTAGTCTACCCCACCAGAGGAAATAATTATAATCTTAATAGGCGACCCACAATGTGGCCCTATAGGTTACTATGTATGTATATTTACAATAACGTTAAAATGAGGAAATTCGCAGTCANGGTATCGCACCCATTGTGGTGGTCCTGAAAGAGTGGATACCACCTCTGGAGAACGCACTAGGTCTGCTCATCGGCAAGACCAAGTGTGCAGCTCATTGGAAATAAAATAATAATAAAAAAAATTTAATATCACTTGAGAAAATACAATTTTTGAGGCTTTTTCTGAAATTTATTTAGTAAGCTTAGCAAGTAAATTCTTGCAAACAACCCACAAATTGAAAAAAATTGGTCAAAACAATAAATAGTAACAGTTAATTATTTAAGCAAAAAGAAAATTATTACCTCAACTGTTTCTGTATCCCTAATGCCCAAAATATAAGGATTAGATCTTGAAATTATCTATAAAAACAAAAGAGAAATATCACAAATTTGCACAGGAAAGATTCAGATAAAACAAGGTACAACATTTTAAATATTTGACGACGTATACATTCTTAAAATATTTGAATAAATTTAAAAACACACTCATAATATAATTGTATTATAATTTCCGTGAATGTAAACTCTCATTAAATTCAGACCATAAGCTAAAAATGAAGGATTTGTTTTTTTTTTCTTTTAAATATTTAGTTAAATTTTTAGCTAAAAATTGCATTTGAAGCATTTTATTTTTATTCCTAATTAAAGTAAGCCAACATAGGTAGAACAAACCATGGGTACTTGTGAATCCTTATAATTCATAACATAATATTTAGTGTGTTTGGGTATACATATATATAAGGTTGTTTTATTTTATTTTCATTTTATATCAGGGGTTGAACAGCCAACCCAATTCAGCTTATGACTATCAACGTTCAATTTCTTAGCCTTGTAATGTTGAACTCAATCCAGAAGACAAGAGAACTCCTGGATCAAGCAATGGGACAAATTATCCTTCGTGGAGGACTTTTTAATGGAACTAACCTGCAATTGGGTTACATAAAGGGGAAAACCTTAAAAATCTCAAATGGTTAGCCCGACAACAAGATTACAATCCATGATGCGCCTGCCTCTGAAGATATTTTACGTCAGCACTGTGGTTGGTACGAGCCGGGTGCAGAATTCATATCAACCAACCAACGTTGGAATTCAAACGTTCACCTCATTGAGAGCCAATAGGGTTCTAAATAAGCTTATGTAATTTTCCATTTTCAGGCTACCCAGTCGTTAAGTGAAGTCTTTGCTTTCCATGGCTTTTGCTGGGGTTGAATTTATGTGCTAAAGAATGAATATCTAAACAAATTGTACTTTTTCCAAGCATGTCTTAATGGTTCAGAAGCTAGGTCTATAGCCAAAAAAGTTCATCATCGGTGAATGGGTGAGTAGTACGATACAGAGATCAAATGATTACTACAAACATTTGACCCCGATGGTGGCGCAGCGAAGAAAAAAAACTAATTTCCGAATTCCATGACAATGAATTTTCAAGAACATTAATAATTTTTAATACTTGAGTTATTATTGTATTATGAACAACTTAGTTTCATAAAAAAAATGTCAATGAAAAAAACTCTTAAAAATTTAAAGTTTCCGCAATTTTGCAAATGAGCCAATTTGGGAGAATTTTTCAATCTTGTATACCGTCTTTCTATACTATGCTAACTTGGGTTATGCTACTTAGTTTTGAAATGTTGCAAAAAATGCCGATCAAAATACTATTTTTTACATAAATGTACAAAAAGAAGTTAATTAAATGTTTGTTTGTTTTTAAAAAAAAAACACAATGAGATGGAAATAATATAAGGCTTCTAGTACAGTATAAATACGATGTTATTGAGTAATTATAAAAAAAGTGTAAGATCTTATGAAACTGTGTCAAAAAAAGCAATATAAAAGCATATCATAAACAAATAAAAAGTATATGATACATAAAAAGAAGATAGCTTCAAAATAAAAAGAGCTAATTTAAGATCACTACAGAATTGAAATATAAAATAATAATAAATATTATTTTAAAAAAAATTTTCAATGACCACTCGATTGACACTCGTCATTCAGGTATCAGTAAGGCAGATTTGTTGGCCCTCTTTCAAGGGAATCATATTATGTAAGCCAACATTGCACCCACAGTATGGACAGATAGTACAGAGAATGAAAGAGCATATGTACCTTGTCCGGAACTTGAACCCAGGACCATTCTGATGTAAGGTCAGCTCCCTGACCACTACACAATCTGGTTTTCAAATTTTACCAGAACGGAATGTTATTCAAACACAAAATAATTAGCAATGTTGTTATAAGAGGATGATATAACATGGGAGAAAAACTTTATGGCAAATTCTGTTTAATTTCATTGGTAAGTCAAAATTTAAAGTTTTGATAAAAGGAAAGCCTAGCCTCTGGAAGCCTAGGTTCAGGTAAACCTAGAGTACACCATAATGCTTCAAATTCTAAAATAAAAATTTCCAAAATTACCAAGTGCACACATATTATGACCGAATTACATCAGATTACACTTTAGGGAAGTTATAATGCAATAATTTGTTTGAATTATGCTTTGAAAAGATTTTTCAGCATTTGAAACTTCATAGTTTACTCTAGGTCAGCAGTTCCCAATTTTGCTTGGCTGTGGAAGCCTTTATGATCAAAATTCATTCGGCGGAATGCTGGCTTAAAAAAACGAGGAAGTATATAAAGACTACTTTATTTTCAAAATATTTAATAAAAGGAACGAAATTGTTTCATTTTTTATCATTAATAATCTTAAATTAGTTTTACGGATGACAATCAATTGAACTCACAGTCTTAGACTTGAATCTAGTTAAGTTATAAATTTGTTTTTGGCATATATAAAACTGAAAATGAACAAGGTAAGTCAAAGTTTTTTTCAGGAATGAAAAGTAAAAAAATTGCTATAAATGCTGAAAAGGGTTATTAGGAAAACACATTAACAAATTTAGTTAAACTCAATGAGAAATACTAATCAGTTTTTAATAAATGCAAGTTCTTTTCATGAATTCCTCAATATAGAGTTGTAAGAAAAACTATGTGCTTTTAAAAAATGTAATTTCTTTCTCATATTTTAAATAATTTCATAAAATCAAGCAAAATATTAAATATATAATGGATTATCCATTGATTATAAGTATATAATTACCAGTATCAAAAATATTAAAGAAAAAAATCATAGCTATCTGAACATTTTTAACTCTTCCTTGAAACTCTGCAGTTGAACTTCCTTGAAAGTTCCGCAGAACACCATTTGGAAACCCCTGCTCCAGGTTTACCTAAACTCACCTTTCTCCAAATTTTAAAATACCAATGTAAAAAAGCAGAAATTTTCTATGAAAAGTTTCTCCAAAAGTATAGCACCCTCAAAACCTGAATATTAGTTTCTGCTATTTTTAAGCTTAATGGCCTGCCTGCATCAAAAAACTGGTTTTTCCCATGTTAGAAGATGGGGAAGCTGTAGGTAGGACAATTATATTAATAATAAGGGCTATTTGTTCTAATTGCCGGCCAGGTGGCCGAGTGGTTAGCGTGTCTGACTGCGAAGCCAATGGCCGCGAGTTCGAATCCTGCTCAGGGCATGGATGTTTCTCTCTCTGTGTTGTCTTCTGATGTGCGAATGAGTGAATGTGGCCCACCCTATAAACGGGTTTGTGGCAGTGTGGCGTGGGAAACGCTGCTTGCCTCCGTGACTTTGGTTCATAGGTGCCAACTGGGTAACGATAAATGAGCAACACTTCCGGCATCTTCTATGGCGAAGAACAAAAGTTCAGTTCCTGCCGTTATTAAAAAAAAATTTAAAAAATAAATGAATTTTCACTGATTGGAATGATTGTATTTTGTTATTATTATCCGTATGCCTGAAAAAAAACAATCAACAAACATTTTTAATACCTTTGGAACAGCACCAGTGCAAATACACAACTTCTTGTAGTTCAAGACTTTAGAATCTGACAACAGAACAGTCTAGCAAAAAATTAGAAAAATTAGCAATACAATCAGCTAAAATAATAATCAAACAATATAAAATATTTAAGTATAGAAAAAAAAACAATACATGTTTTAAAGAATCAATTTCAACTGCAGAGGCAAAGTAGACTGTGCAATTTGCATGACGATTTTCCAAAAATGAATAAGATTCTTCTCCAACGTCAAAGTCTTCTAATCTCTTCGATATCTGCAACAACAAAAAAAAAAGTGTTAACCATCACAATTAAAGAATTTAAAGCAAAATATATTACAGTTTCTACATTAAGCTAAAGTTTTGAAATGTACAACATATAGATAACAGTTAGCGATTGGCAAAGAATAAAAAGTAACTAAACAAAAATTTCACTTTCAGTTAACACAGAGTGCATAAACAAAATATCTTCATCTGGCAAAGCATTAAAATTTTAGATATACATTATTTTTTCTTGCTTTTAAAATTAATCTTAAGTATTCAAAATATCTCAATGTGAAAATGTGTAACAAATTTTTATATTTTGTGAGATAATTAATTAATTTTTAAAAACTATGATAGCAAAAATGGCATTTCTGTCATGTCATTTAAGTTATTATATGCTAAATAAACAACTAATAATTTTGTAGGAACGTTAGTTTTCTTAAAAAGAAATTAATTATAGTATAACCCTTTGATGCAGAATATTTATTAAACATATTTTTCCTCATTCATTATTTTGTATTAATTTAAGTCAAAATAAGTGAAAAATATACCATAGCATTTTAATAGTTTATGATTATAAAATACAGCATGAGGCACTGGTACCTTTTTTCTGTGTTAAAGGTAAAATCTTCTAAACATGGCTCACTTCCAAATAAAAAATTTTCGAATTTGCAGTTATTTAAATCTGAGAGAAACAGTTATTCATCATTTAAATTTCATTAATTTACAAAATCAATCATTGATAAACTTTTGAAAATGAATTTAAAAAAAACATTTTCAAACTACTTTTTTGGATTTTATATATTTTGGAATAAATATAATTCCGATAATCAAACATATTTTTTAAGTTACTATTAAACTGTTTATTTTTTTTATCATTGAAATATATAAACATATATTTTTGCTTGTAATTAAAGCATCAAAAAAATATATATAAAAGGAACACCAGTATCCCATCTGCATTAAGGATAATATTTTTCAAATAAATTTACATTTTCCTATTTAAAAAGCAGTTTATTAAAAAGTTCACAACTATTGCATAATTAAAGATCCCTTTGCCAAAAAAAAGTTTTTGCTCCTTAAAGTTAATATAATCTTAGCAAGGATTAAGACAATGAGATAAGAAGCTGATTGGAAGAACTATTTTCAAAATTAAAAACTCTAGACTAGGCAGGCTCCTTTTACTTAAAGAAAATTATTCCCACAAAATATAAAAATCTTTCAAGTAAAAAAACTTCTTTTTTTAATTCTAATACAGCAAATAAATAAATAAATATCAGGCAATATCTTTAAATTTAATATTGAATATTATTGAATGAATAAATTAAATCTTTTATTAAATAAGTTAAACATGCATATAAAATTTAACTATTAAATTTCAATTAACAATTCAATTTCCAATTTAACAATTACATATGTACTTTCTACAACTTATTATATTTCTATTATAAAATGAATGTTACAAAATGTTTAAAGAAACATTTTTAAGAATTGAAAATACTATTTCAATACAACTTTAAAGCTCATAAGCAGCAATTATTACTGTTGATTTTACCTTTATAACATTTTTAGCGACTTTCACAAAAGGAGAGGCTGAAATTAAAATAATGCTTTCATCTGGTTGTTCAAATGCCAACTGAAATAGAAAAACAAACATCTAAGAATGTAATAATATATCTCAATAGCATAGGAATAAAGTTTAAGGAATTATAAATATTATAACATCAACAATGAAAGCCAAATTATATTTAAAAGTAAAGATATTTCATAAAATTATTTCTTGTAAACACAATAGACCCTCGTTATAAAGGTCTCTATCCTTTATAATAATGTAAGATTGCTGAAGTGCACAAATATGTTTGAAACATTTACTAAAAACTAAAGGAACCTGGACCGATTTAAAAAAAACCAAAACAACTGAAAAAAACCAGGTAAGAAGAATAACATTTTTCAAAACATAAGCAAAAAAATTCTTCAAACAAGAAAAATATAAGCCATGATAGCTAAGAGGATAGAAAGGGTCTAGGATTCAGGGAGACCCGGTTTCAAATCCAGAGGCAGCCTGGTGGTGCAAATTCTGCTCCCGGGTCGTACTTGACCACAATGATGAGGTAAAATGTCCCCAATGGCAGACATATAATGGGTTAGAAACCCCTTGCCATCAAGCTAACCGCAGGAGGTTTTCCTCTCCGTAAAACGCAAATGAGGTTTTTTTTTCTCAATAAAAAGTCCTCCACAAAGGTTAGTTTGTCAATTTACTTGATCCAGGAGTCCTCTTGTCTTCTGGGTTGGGCCCAAAATGACAGGCTAAGTTGTTGAACATCGATATTCATAAACTCAGAATTGGGACAACCATGGAGCTAGGAGTAGATGGAGGNGGCTAATGGGAGTGTCTTCTCCACTTACTCCTAGCTCCATGGGGACAACTGTTCAACACCAATTATAAAATAAGTATAAAATAAAAAACCGGAGAGTTTTCCATATCGTGATCTTAGGCAGAATAATCGAAAAATCTTGGCAGCTTCCGGGCAGCGGCCCGCGAGAAACTAAAAAAAAATATAAAAAAATCACAGAAAAGGACCAACTCGAAAGGTATAACTCGTAGCCACTCCCAAGCAAACATCAACTTGTTTTTTATAAAATTTTGAAAATTTAAAATCAATTTGCAGCCTTGGCGATTGTAATTGATGCGACAGATCAAGATACGGAAATATCTCCAGAAAACACAGTACATGCTTAAAAATATGCTAAATCATAAAATAATGCTAGATATAAAGATTATCGTTGGCAATTAGAATATTATATAGGAAACACACAATTTACTAAGATTTCTTCACCTCTTATTTTTAAACAATACTAAACTCCAGCTTTTTCTATACGAATTTTTAAAACCATTCGGTGTAAAACAATAATAATAAAAATTAATTATGGCAAACAAAAAAATACATGCCTGTTCAGCGCATGAAACGCCAGCAATACCACCCCCAATAATAATGAAAGTTGCAGATGACAATCTACAAATGTCAGCGGTATCACATTCAGCCATATGTTTAATTGTATTTATTATTTCAATTTATTTAAATACGAATTTTATATTTGTTGTTTTTATTTACATAGTTTAATAATATAAACAGAAGCTTGTAACTTATTATTTCTGTGCGACTTGACACTTGCTTATAAAACTAAGGCTTTCTTGATCGACGAAAAAATAGGAGCTGGAGAAAAGAAAGTGAATAACTTGTTACTCTATTGGCAACACATAATAAATTGAGGTAATTTTGGTTTGACCATGCGATAATAAATTAAACTCGATCCAGACTAAGTTTAATTATCGACTCATTTATAGACCTTGATTTGAGTTAGAGATTTCTCTAAAGCTTAAGAATAAAATTGGAGCTAATATGAATCTTTCAAGAGTTATATTTACTCTTATATTTTGTCCACACTATGGATAAATTGCTCTCGCAAGACTTCCGGGTTACTGCTTCCGATATATTTTTACGCCGCAGATTGAAAAAACGCGCCATCATATTATTACATCATATCTTTCGCAGTATTTCACATGTACCGAATTCTTTCTTTCAGCCTTTAAACTTCAGCATTATCATATTAATATTATAATCATTAGAATATTTTCTAATTAGGCTAACTTAAAAAGTTTTTTTTAAAGATATTTTTGGCGACATTTTATTCAAATGTAGCCAAATAAGGGATAAAATACAAAGCGTGGCAAACCTTAAGAATTATTCACAATGAGATATTAACTTTCCAAAAAAATTTTTGGCCTTACGACCTCTGAGAATCAATACATTTCTGAAAGCTCTTATGAATGGTACAATTATGTTTAGATTTGAACCCAAATTACAATAACAAAACTGCATAGAATATTAGGCTTGTTCACACATCGC